AAGTGCATACAACCCCGACAAACACTTGTGCGGCTAAGGGGACCAATGGAGGGGCTTGCTGGAGCTGTGACAGTGGAGGGCACCTCCTCCTGCTGCTGCTGTTGTCAAACACTTAGGGATACAAACACTGCAAAGACCAGCACTTGAAGCTTCTTGCCCACCACGGTTTCCACACAGCAAGAGCACTGCAACCAGCAGAGGGGCAGCACTCTTCAGTCCACAGAAGGCAGCTAGGATGAACTGGGTGACTGCGCAGCACTTGAAAGTGGAGACAGGAAGACAGCAGGTTCAAGGCCTGCTCAGTGTACACAAGACGTCTCAAGCAAAACAAACAAAAAAGGCTTAAGGCTCTACAGCAATGGAAAATCCAAATTAAACTTCTGGTTTTTCGAGACAGGGCTGTGTCTAAAGGCGTGCATGACCACTATCTAGCTAAAATTAAAATTTCAATATTTACAGAGCCTTCTCTTTATATAAATCTGAAGATCGTGGTAACTATTTGGAAAGTAGTTAAGTCCTAGCTCCTTGTGGCATCCACACTGTTTACTTCCTCCTCGGCCTTCTGCCTCTTTTTTTAGGAAGGCTTTGCCCATCACAGAACACACTTCTAAAGCTCTCACAGATGCCAAGGACCTGCAGCCCTCATCAGCACCGGACACTCCTTAGTTTACCTACTTAATCCCTGTGATGTTTATACTGTCAACCTGACAGGTTCTAGAATCACCTCAGAGCCTGTGAGGGAGTCTCCAGACAGGGGTGACTGAGGTGGAAGGACCCACCCTAACTGTGGCAGTACAACTCCACTCTGGGCTGAACTCGAGGCAGAAAGCAACCCGCTTCAGGCTTCGGGCTGCCTCCCCGGCCTGCCAGGATTAAATACCTCCTCAGACTGACCCTAACAAACCCTTCCGTACGATGCTTTGTCAAGTATTTAATAACACCAAGAAAAAAGTAACAGTCCTAGGTCTTCAATAATCCAGTGAGGTCAGATTACAATACACACGGAAACTGAGTTACTGAGAGGTGACATAACTAGTCAAAATCGGTCCCCCTGGGAAGGCTCAGCTGTTGTGTATACCAGGCTTTTTCTTTTTGGGCCACCAACGGCTCCCAAATCATGACAGAGATAGTTTTGAATGCTTGGCCTATCTTAGGTTCATTTCTGGCTAGCTCTTTCAACTTAATCTGTTTCTCTTTGTTTCCCTTTAGCCTCGAAGCTTATTACCTTCTTTCTGTGTATCTTACTTTCACTAGATTTCTCCTCTTATTTGCCTGCCAGTCGTGCCTATCCTTTCTCCTGCCTAGCTATTGGCTGCCCAGTTTATTAGACCAGGCAAGGTGAAACAAATGTAACACATCTTTACATAATTAAATGCAGCATAAACAAATGTAACACATCTTTACATTATTAAATGCAGCATAAGGGCTGGAGAGATGGCTCAGAGGTTAAAAGTACTGACTACTCTTCTAGAGGTCCTGAGTTCAATTCCTAGCACCCACATGGTGGCTCACAACCATCTGCAATTCAATCTGGTGCCCTTTTCTGGCGTGTAGGCAGAACACTGTATATGTAATAAATAAATCTTTAAAAAAAATAAATACAGCATAAACAGATGTAACACACTTTTACAATTGAAGTAATATCCTACTGCATAAACAAATATAACATATCTTTACAGTAAAAATACTATATCACAATTATGAATATCAAATACAGAAAAATCTTTTCCCTGGGGGACACACTTTGCTGAACAAAACCTACCCATGAGAGAATGGGATGGTATGAAAGTGTTGTGTGACACAAAGCTTCGAGGCAGGAGGATCAAGACTCAGGAACAAGTAAAAAGCGCTAAGAGTAATTTCATTCAAGCACTAAGATTTTCAATATTTTGGTACACCATTAAAGTGTTCAGTACAGGGGGCTGAGAGGTTAAGAGCACTGGCTGCTCTTCCAGAGGTCCTAAATTCAATTCCCAGCAACCACATGGCGGCTCACAACCATCTATAAAGAGATCTGGTGCCCTCTTCTGGCATCCAGGCATACATGCAGGAAGAACAGTGTACACATAATAAACCTTTAAAATTATCAACATGGTGTAGTTTAGAATGCAAGCATTTACAGTTTAAGTGCTTTCTATTCCCCTCCTCCCCCAAGACAGGGTTTTTCTGTGTGCAGCTCCCAGAGATCTGCCTACCTCTGCCTCCCAAGTGCTGATTAAAGATGTGTGACACACCACCCAGTGCAATGTTACTTTGTTTATATTCAAAACTGTAACTTCTTTTCTTGGTTTAAGAGTCTCTCTATATAGCCTATGCTTGTGATCCTCCTGCTTCAGCCTCCCAGTTGCTGTGGCTATAGGTATGCACCATCACACACAATTTCCTTAAACACTATTTACACATGGTCTTACTAAACACAGGAGACTTGTCATTTTCATTTCAGAACTACAGGATTATTTCTTCTTCAAAAATAACTTTAAAAAGATGGCAAAGCCTGGGCATTGGTGGCATACACCTGTAATGTCAGCACTTGGGAGGCAGAGGCAGATGGATCTCTGCAAGCTGAAGATCAGTCTGGTCTACAGAGCTAGTACCTGGACAGCTAGGGCTGCACAGAGAAACAAAAAAGACAAAGCATTTCAACCCCTTTTCAAATAAAAAAATTAAAACAACTTTATTACTTAGGCCTAAAAGCCTGTCAAGGAAGTTTTACCAGCCCAGGGCTCTTAGCATTAGCTGGAGTTGTTCACTGTCTGGACTTCACAGAGAGCAACGCAAGGATGGCAGTCACTTGGGCAAAGGTAGAAAGTGCAAGGCCTTGGATTCAATTCCCAGTACAAAGTGAACCTTACCTTTTAAAGGAATTCTTTTATTCCTGTGCCATTAGGGTGTCTCCGAGAGGCTGTGGCAGCAAAATGCAAACAGCCCCATCTGCCAAGCACCCAAGATTGTTCTAAGGAAGTGAGTCCTGCCTCCAGAGTTTTAGAAAATGAACTTTTTGAGATTGAACAAGTTGGGTGGAGAGGTTCCGGGGCTTATGATGTTGAGATGGTACCATGGGACACACAGGCAACACCTCAGACTTTATATGCCACCCTATGGTACGAAACTGTTTACATTAACTTGAGTCAAAGAACGTAACCACTGTTTATATTTTTTGCAGTTTTAAATGTTTACTATATGTAATTAAGGACATTAAACATCATTTAATCATTTGGAGAGAAAATGCTGCTTGATTTTGGACCAAACAACTAAAATGCCTCCGCATGTTTTTTTCTGTTAGAACGGTATGTACGGGAACTCTTGGCTGGCTGTGTAGATGAACAGGCCAGCATGGGCCTAGGAGCTAAGCTTTGTCTCAATCCCTCCTCCTCTCTACCCTCAGATGCTGATGTGTAGCATAAATAGGGCTTTGTTAGACAGTTTCGCTGAGTGAACGCCAAGTCATTACCCGCACCCTCCAGATTTTACTTACAAACTGTCAAAAGGACCTGAGTCACCCATCTTCACACTTCATGACTCCAAGCTTTAAAAAAGGGTGTCAAGGCTGGGCGGTGGTGGCACACACCTTTAATCCCAGCACTTGGGAGGCAGAGACAGGGAGTGTTCCAGGACAGCCAGAACTACAGAGAAACTGTCTCGGAAAAACAAGAACAAAAAGTATCCAAAAAGCTACTAATGATCAACAATGTGTATACTTCTAACACCTAGACATTTTAGAAAGCTTCTACCCATGCTTCCTCAGGGGCCTGTTGAAAAAATAATCTCCGAGAAACCAAAGCCAATATAAAAGAAAACAACTCAGCATAGAGGTGCACACTTGTAACCCTAATACTTGGGAGGCAGAGGCTTGCACAGTCCAGGCCAACCTCCACTCACTTCCAGTGCAGACCGGGCTCTAGTGAGACCCAACTCAAACTGTCACCCACTGACAAAAATCTCCACTAAGTGGATTTTTATTCTAAACACATTTAAAAGCATTTTAGAGCAGGAGTGCTTGCTTGCATGTATGTGCATCTACATTTTTTTATGTGCAATGTAGTGCTCAGACCAAGATGTTGAGTTCCTTATGAGCTGCAACATGGGTGCTAGCACCCAAAGCTGGCCCTCTGCAAGAGTAGCAAGTGCTCTTAACCACTGAGCCATCTCTCCAGCATGACTCTTTGAAATTCCTATCTGTAACCTCCACTTCAAAAATAAAAAACTAATGGCCCACATGACCCTTGAATGAGATTTTGTGCATACACATTTGTGTGTACAGTGTGCTCACAGGCCAGAGGCGGATGACTCACCTTCAACTGTTTTCCATCTTACCTTTTTTATGACAGGGTCTCTTACTGAACCTGGGAGTTTATCAATTTGGCGGCTAGCTGGCTAGCAAGCCCCAAGGATCCACCTACCTGTGTCCAGCTCCTGAGTATCAGGGCTGGACTGCCATGCCCAGCTTTTTCACAAGAGTTCTAGGAGCGGAAGAAGTCTGGTTCTCAGGCTCACACAGCAAGCACTTGGCATACCGAGACATCTTTCCAGTCCCACTGGGTAAGTTTGATAAAAATGCCAAATAAAGAGTATATTAATGTTTTCAATTTATTTAACAAATTAGTTTAAGGGTATAGATAAAATTTTAGTGACTCAAAACAGAACATTCATTTATTAAAATATTGTATACTAAACACCGGTGTTATACTGGTAAGCATTTTCCTGTTAATATTTAATTAAAATACACAACACAACCTTACAGAAAATACCTCTTTAAGTGACTGAACTGGGAGCACACCTGTCATCCCAGCACTTGGGAAGCAGAGGCAGATGGAGCTCTGTGAGTCTGAGGCCAGCCTGGTCTATAGAATGAGTTCCAAGTCAGCCAGAGCTGTAACACTGAGAAACCCAGCCTCAAAGGGAAACAAACCAGAAACCCTAAGTGATTAAAAAGTGAGGCGAGTGCTGATCCAAGCTTCCTCGATGAGTCAAAGATGGAGAACTTAGGAGACAAAGGCCCGTTTACTGAAAGTTACATTTTATTATATTCGTCACTGTTCTAAAATTACCACTTACACCAAATAAAGATAGCATGGGCTGTCCTCTCCCAACAACAGAAAGTTGTTGGAAGGAGTTGCATTTTCAAAACACATGTTATTTGTAACAAAACCAATTAGGTATAAACACAGAAATGCTCTTCTGTAAAGTGAATGCAATGCTCTCTCCCACAGCCCTTTTTGGCGTTCTCTCTTCTAGTTCTTCTAAGCAGTATGTATGACACACACCACAGAGGTAGGAAAGGCCATTTTTAATAAATTATCTTTTTTGTAGACAACTTCTCAAAATTAAACTGACAAAATGCTACACCATGCCCTGGATGAGTCTCAGAGGACTGCACCCTTTCTATCTGAAGGCTTGATCTGCTGGAGTGTTCTAGCTCTTGTCCGGTAACTTGGCAGCAAGATCATCCAGGGTCACAACCACATCCAGAAAGCCTTCTACCACTGATCATTTACCGATTCGCTGTACCACCCAGTCCTGCTGGCACAGAGGACAGCGATTGTTCTGCTTCACCCAGAGAGACATGCAGCAGTTGTGAAAGGAATGATTGCATTCTCCCCAGACCACTGGAAGAAAAAAAAAAAAAAAACCAACAACAACAGTTGAGTAGGCATGGTGGCATTTGCCTTTAATGTCAGCATTTGGGAGGCAGAGGCAGGTGGATCTCTGCATCTCTATGAGTTTGAGGTCAGCCTAGTTCTAGGACAGCCAGAGCTGTTACAGAGAAATCCTGTCTCAAAAATCAAAACAAAAAGTAGCATTGTGTTTTGGGGGTGAAGTCACAACCCCTATCTCTTAAACATCTCTACTTGTTGTCTTCTGAAGTTAGGAGATTAAAGGACCTGAGTCTGTTGTAGATCCCAGACCTCCTCAGCCATGGGATGGCCTCAGGGATCCTTTGCACTTTCCTGTCTTTATAACATCCTCCTGGCTTTTGTTTACCAAGATACAATGTCTTACAGGCTCTCAGCTTATGGGGGGCTATTATAAACAGATAGTAGGCACGGAAACATCATTAGCTATTGATAGTTCATCTACTGATCTGTTTTTCTAGAAGTGATGAATTATGCTAAGCTTGGCTGGGAGACGGCTCAGAGGTTAAGAGCACTGAATGCTACTCCTCCCGAGTCCTGAGTTCAATTCCCAGCAACCACATGGTGGCTCACAACCATCTGTAATGAGATCTGGTGCCCTCTTCTGGCCTGCAGGGATACATGCAGACAGAATACTGTATACATAATTAAATCTTTAAAAAAAAAATTACGCTAAGCCTTCTAGCTGGGTGTGGTCCTGAAGTACCAGCACAGGAAAAGGATCGCTGAAAGGCCTGCCTTGTCTATATAGCAAGTGTCAAGTCAGGGCCACACATTGAGACCAAAACCCAAAACCAGTCAACAAATCCAAAAGTTACCACGTCAGCAGGCAGTGCAGCTCCTCACCTGACAACTGGATTTGTAGAGTGGCTGGAGAGGCACCCCCGTGATCAGGGTTCTTTGCTGAGACAGGGCCTTGCTATACAGCCCAGACTGGCCTGGAATTCACTATGTAGACTATGGTAATTGCCCTGTCTCAGGCTTGCAAGGTGCTGGGATTACAGATGTAGGCCCTCTCACCAGCCCCTAAACTCTGAATATGTGTATTAATAATTAATCACTGGTTTATGGCTTTTTTACTGACAAAGTCATTTTTTTCTTTTTGTTGGAAAACAGATCTCATTACATAGCAAAAGCTGGTCTCAGCCTTCCCAGTACTGGGTTACAGAGGCCAATTTAACAGTCAATTTTAATTGCAAATTCAAATATTGCTACAGAGACAGAAGAAAACCTACAATTGAAAAGGCAGGAGGAAGAATTGCCACATACCAACACAGTCCTCTTGTTTGTTTTCAGCTTGACATCTGAGGCAGGCATCTAAAAGCAAACAAAGCAAATCTCATCTAAGGTCAGGAGGCAACACTGGAAACCCAGACCTTCAAAGTCAAACAAAAGCCCTGAGGATCAGAGATGAAGATAAGAGTCTCATATTATTAATTTCTCATCTAAAAATAACTACTAAAAGAGAAATAAAATACATGGCATTCTACTAATTCACTTATGACCAATGTTTCACAAGGGCTAATGATGATTTTACAAGTTCATATGACAGGATAGCTTGGCAGTGGCATTAAAGAAAGTCACTCAGACTAAGATGCCAACTACACCATAACAAATTATTGAAAGCCCACCAGCTTGCTCATTGACATTGACCAACCTTAGGGTTATTTTATTTTATTTGGTTTTTTGAGACAGGGACTCTCTGTAGTTTTTAAGAGACTGTCCTGGAACTCTCTTTGAAGACAAGGCTGGCCTCAAACTCAGAGATCCGCCTGCCTCTGCCTCCCAAGTGCTGGAGGGTTAGTTTGTTTTTTAGATACAATTGTGTCTATGTATTCATTATTTGTTCATACACACATAAAGATCTAGAATCTTCTGAGGAACCATTAGAGGTTTCTGTTTTTTAGACATAGCCCCTGCTAGCCTCTAACCTGAACTGCCACATTTTGGATGATGACCTTAAAATCCTGCCTCTACCTCCCGACTCAAAATTTTGGGATTACAAGCATGTGCCCCTGGTCCTGCCCAATAATAAAGTATAGGATGGACCAGGAAGGAGTTTTTACATATACCCCCTTAATTTTTAAATCACATGACCATATAACCTATATGAAAGTTAAAGGTGCCAGTTGTGGTGGCGCACGCTGGTAGGATTTGCTGAAGGAGGCAGAGGCAGGCGGATCTCTGTGAGTTCGAGTTCCAGAACAGCCTCCAAAACAATACAGAGAAACCCTGTCTTGAAAAACCAAAAAAAGAAAGAAAAGAGAAAGTTAAAGGCTTTTTCTTTTTCTAATTTTTTTTTGTAAGCAAAATTCCTTCCCTTTGTTTTGAGACTGGGTTTCATGTTGCTCAGGCTGGCCTCAAACTAAGAAGGCCCGAACCCCCAATCTTCAATGCATTCACACAATATGCCAAAGTACTGGAATAAATTACTTAGGAGTAAATACTAGAAATGGAAACCTAAGAGTATGCTACAAGTTTCTAGAATTCAATCAGTACAATACTTCAGGGACCAATGAAATTGATTCATTCTTTAACTGTATGGCAATCCAAATCAGGTAAAAGGAGGCTCACACTGACAGAAAAGGCTTGGTTTTATTATGTGTATGTGCTAACTGTGGGTGTGTGCATGCAGAGGGCCAGAGGTGCTGACCACCACTGGAGCTGGAGTTACAAGAGGTTGTGAGCTGCAGAACACTGGTACTAAGCAAGTTAAGAGCAGTGCGTGCTCTTCACCACTGAGCCATCTCTCCAGATCCAGAAAGAAAGAAGAGGCGGGGCAGGAGGACCCTTGTGAGTTCACAAGTTACACACTGTGTTGCTAGTACCAGGGCTAGAGGGACTCAAAGGTTAAAAAAATATGTAAAATAATCCACATCTAGCGTGAATTGAAAACCACTTCCTGCCTCTCCTCACACTGGCTCAAGCACACAGTATCTGTGGCCGGCTCCAGCTGTGGTGACCACTGAACTCTAACGATAGAATTGGTCAACTCAGAGATCCTCACTCCAGAGTGCTGGGACTAAAGGCCTGCACCACCAACTCCCAGCTAACAGTTTTTACATATTCTGACTGCCTGTGTGTCTGTGCACCATGTTCATGCAATGCCCAGAGAGGGCTCAGGTCTCTAAGACTGGCATTACGAATGGCTGTGAGCCACCATGTGGGTGCTATGAATTGAACTCAGGTCCAAGTCTGTGGAATTGGAAGAGAAATCAGTGCTTTTAACCACTGAGCCATCTCTCCAGCCCACAGTAATTTAATAAACTCTCACATAATTTATGTAACTTCCATATGAATGTGCACTGTATGTGTTAGTGCCCTCTGAAGCCAGAATAGTGTTGGACAAATTGGAACTGAAGTTACTGAGGATTGTGAACTGCCTTGTGGGTGTGGGAAATCAAACTGGGGTGCTCTGTAAGAGCAGTCTTCACTCTTCGGAAACATCTCTCCAGCCCCTGGCTTCGCTTTTGCTCGAGGCTGGTCTCAAGCTCTCGTGCTTCGGCCTCCTCAGTATTACAGGTGTTAACTACCATCTTGGAAGCCTATGTTATGCTGGGGATGCAATTCAGTTGGTAGTTTGCCTAGCATGAAGGAATTCATTACCCAGCATGCCACAGACACTGTGGCTCATTTCAGCAAATCCCAGCGCTTGGGAGGAAGCACGAAGATCAGGAATTCAAGGCCACCCTGGACTATAGGAGACTGAACCAGTCTAAAAGAGAAACAAAGCCAAGCAGCGGTGGTAGCACATGCCTTTGATCCCGGCACTAGAAAAGCAGAGGCAGAGGCACAGTCGGGAGTTGGTGCCGCTCACCTTTAATCCCAACTCTCGGGAGACAGAGGCAGGGGGATCTCTGAGAGTTCCAGACCAACCTGGTCTACAACAGCTAGTTCCAGGACAGCCTCCAAAGCCACAGAGAAACCCTGTCTCGAAATCCATCCCCCCAAAAAAAGAAAAGGCAGAGGCAGGAGGATCTCTAAGTTTGAGGCCAGCCTGGTCTGCGCAGAGAAAACCTGTCTCAACAACCACCCAAGAGAAACTGACAGACGACAGAGATAGGGTTCTTTTCAAGGTGGACTGAGCTCTTAAACTATGTAAAACTCAACTGTATTACACTGGTTTGGATACGTTTCATTTGGTTCAATATTTTCATTCAAAATACTAACACGTTAGACTACTAATGAAAGAAGGTTCTTCGAAAGGGCACAAAAGGGTGGGAAGGGGACACGATTACCTTTCATGTTTCTGAATCAAGCAAAGGCTTTTCTATCCTTGGATGCCCATAAATCTTTTTTTTTTTTTGGTTGGTTTTTCGAGACAGGGTTTCTCTGTATTGTTTTGGAGGCTGTCCTGGAACTCTCTTGGCCCTCGCTTCAAGACATGCGAGCTCTATCTGACCCGTCAATGTAAATCTTAGAAGCCGGCCAAATAGCTGCGCCGAACCCACACGAATGGCTGCGCACCATTTCGGTGGTGACAGAGCCATGAAACAGATCCGCACGGTGGCGCAGGCTCGTTATCTCCAGAGTTTGGGACAGACAGGGGACCAGGAGTTCAAGGCCAACCTCGGCTACATGGGCAAATTCCAAGCCAGCCTGGGAAACATGAGAGTTTCCCCAAAATTGATTAATTAACTGAATGAACGCTTACATCCACGAGCGGGTCCGCTGGGCGGTTTGCTGGTCGCCGGGCTACCAACACAAACCCGGAGGGAGGTTCCCCACGGGTGCCGAGAGATCGCCCACCACCCGCAGGAATCGGCCCAGTGCTCGCCGGGAAGCTGCCCAGCAGGCCGCGCCACAGCCCCGGCCTCGCGTGCAGCGCTTGGCTTACCCATCACCTGGACCCTGCAAATGGCGCAGGTATCGCACTCAACGTCCCAGCTCCACATGGCTACCGCGTTCCATTTCTTGAGGGAGAACATCTTGTCCCCACCCGACTTGGTGCCCGCAGTCCCGGAGTGTGAGGACAACACGCAGGTCTCCTCGCCCTCCTCCACGTCGGCCATGGCGGCGGCGCAGAACAGCGACGCCGACGTTGGGCGCTGAGGCGGGAGGTATGGCGGCTCAGTAGGGCCCAAATGCACGCCACAGCGCCCGCAGGTACGGCCGCACAGCCAGAGGTAGGCGGTGCTGGTTGCCTGGCGCGGCCCGGTGACGTCACGATGGGCGGGGCCTGCACTGGGAACCTCGGGGCCTGCTGATAGTCCTTGGTGGCCTCGGGCATTTACTGCAGAGCTGGCGGAGGACAGTGAGAGAGCATTGCCCTGAGTCCTACTTTATTAAACCCGGAGCTCTCAGAAATCACCTGGTTCTGTCTTCATTTGTCTCCTCTCTCCCAAATGTGAACTATCAGAGTAGGGAGATAAGTCTCCCCATCACCATTCATATCTTACAACCCCTCTCCAGGCACCAGGGAGGGGCGTTGGGGACTCGCAGATAGTGAGAGGCCAGTGATGGGAGCAAGGCTCTGAGTTCCTACACTTGACCACAGGGTGTAGTGGGTTCAGACACCCCTCGAGACTGCTCACAACTCAGCTTCCCATCTTTTTATTTTTGGTTTTTCGAGACAAGGTTTCTCTCTGTATTGTTTTGGAAGCTGTCCTGGAACTCGCTCTGTAGACCAGCCTGGACTCGAACTCACAGAGATCTGCCTGCCTCTGCCTCCCCATCAGCTTCCCATCTTTATGGGAAATACCTACTTTGCTTGGAAAAACAGAAGGTGATCTGCTGGGTTTCCCGTAGAAACTGGTTTCAAGACTGGCACCTTTCCATGGCAGTCCTATGATAGTCGTAATGTCATTTTTCTGGTTTCCATTACATTTGTTTTTAAGGCGCTTAAAGTAGCCCCAAGAGCCATTTAATAGGGTTTCTGGGATTCTTTTTCTTTGTGAAACAATATTTTGTACCGATTCCCATTTTTCACTCTAATTTAGCAGGGAACAGTGGAGTCCTGTGTGGGTGGATGTGTGTGTAAGAGGTGAGGTCAGGAGTTGGGGAGACAGAGGCAGAGTAGACAGCTGGCCTGCGTGTCGTGTCTTAGCCATTGGCCAGAGCAGAGCAACAGTGGAGGGAGACAGGGATCTGCCCACACTTTATGAGCCAAACAAAAACGCCCATGAACAAGCCTGAGTTTACCTACTAAAACACATCTTCTGCTTATGCAAGACGACCCCCAATCTGATGCTGATGGCTGTACATGACAGATGGTGAATGAAGAAGGAAGGAAGCAGAAGATAAAACACCCAGGTGGAGAGACCCAGCAGTCAGAGGGAAGGAAGGAACCTTAGTTATGGATAGTTGAAAGAATGAAGGCTGGGGCAGCGTGAGGGTGGACCTTGCCTATGGCCGGCCCTACAGAGACTGTGAGACTGGAATTGGATGGAGAAGGGGAAATTTGCAGTGTGGACATCTGGCTCTCGGGAAGGCCTTTCATATGATGGAAAGTAGGCCAGCAGATGTATAAGAGCACCATGTATAAGCAAATGTGCTCTGGGGAGATGGCAGAGCAGGGACAGCCAAAGAAGACCCAGGCTGTGGGGCTTGTTCAAGCACAGCTTAAGCCCCACAGCTGGAAGAGCCCCCTCAACAGGCTTTGTCTCAGACCAGAGACAGTCAGAGGGCAAGAACTGTGGGAGAGCTTGGATGAAAAGGCAAACATACCCGCCTCATGCCCTGCTCAGCTCATGTTGACTGTCGTTCTTCATGTTACTCTTACCACCTGGAGAGTGTTCTGGACACTCCCATGCAAGCTCTGGACCTCACACCTGCTTCTGTAATACCCCCCTGGAGAAAGGTACAGACAACCACTTTGATTAAATGTATATGAATCCTCAGTGGTTAAGAGCACTGACTACTCTTTTAGAGGACCCAGTTTGATTCCCAGCTCACAACTGTCTCTAATTCCAAACTCTGACACCTTCATACAGACACCAATGCAAATAAAAAAGTATATGAGTCCTATGACCAATATTGTGGGGGTATTCACAAGGGAAGATTGCTCGGATATGGGTTAAGCCAGTAGAAAGTCTTTATTAAGTCAGGCATGGTGGCTCATGTCTTTAATCCCAGCACTCAGGAGGCAGAGGCAGGAGGATCTCTGTGAGAGTGAGGTCAGCCTGGTCTACAGAGCGAGTTCCAGGACAGCCAGAGCTCCACAGAGAAATGCTGTCTTCAAATAACAAAAACGAAAACTAAAACTGACAAGCAGCTACACTGAGTGTTTAGGACCCAGTGTAGCCCTGGGTGTAGTTGGTCTTTTTTACTCTAGAGGCCTGCCACTCAGCTCCAAACAAATATACAAAGACTTATTCTTACTTATGAATGCCTGGCCTTGGCTTGGCTTGTCTCTAGCCAGCTTTTCTAACTTAAATTATTCCATTTATATTTAACTACATTTTGCCTCTGGGCTTTTTACCTTTCATTTGTCTATGTGTCTTTCTTCCCTTTTTACTCTGTGACTAGCTGTGTGTCTAGGTGGCTGGTCCTTGATGTCCTCCCCTCTGTCTCCTTTTCTCCATCCTCCCTCTTCCTATTCTTTTCTAGTCTAGTTCTCTCCTATTTATTCTCTCTGTCTGCTACCCCACCTAGTTCTCTCTCCTGCCTTGCTACTAGCCATTCAGCTCCTTATTAGACCAACCAGGTGTTTTAGACAGGCAAAATAACACAGCTTTACAGAGTGAAACAAATACAACATAAAAGAACGACGCACATCTTTGCAACATTAAACAAATATTCCACAGCATAAACAAATGTAATACATCTTAAACTAATGCTCCACAACACCTAAGCCTAGGTTGACATACTTTAGTTAACTGTTAGCCAGATGCTATCTATAGAAGGCTAGTACCTTTAGAGACTTTCCCAGAACTATGGACTTTGATGGAGTGGGTCTTTGTTTTAGTTTTGGCAGGTGGTGCTGTCTATATGCTGACTTCTACAGCCTGAATGGTACTTCCATCATGGAGTCAGCTGTGCCAAGGTCTTGGGGCCCTATTACAACTAAGATTAACCTCATGCCTCAGAGTCTCTTGGTGTTGAAGCTCAGGGAGGGAATATAGTGTTTTTAAATGCAAAAATCACAAAGACCATAATTCACATGACAAAGTAACCTTGAAGCATTCATTCCTGGCAGAACAATACTTCAGACACAACACGAAATTTATTTTTAACTTATACCTTCTTCAATTATTCTAGTTTATATCAATTATTTTGTTTGACACTTCTGGACCTTGGTCAAGGCCATGGAAATTCCAATGTGTGAACGGGGTAGATGTGGCCATTGTGGGAGTGGGTTTAGGTAGAGGGCTGAGAACTGTCTAAGTGAGTACAGAGTCAGGATAAGATGGCATTACCTTGGTCACTTCTTCTCAGTAGGAGAGTCTTTGTTCCTTTGTTCCAAACATTGAAGAGCTGCTTGGGTTTGCGTCAGATACTTCCCTTTAATGCTAACACTTTTAAGCCCTTTGGGAAAAACCCTATTCCCATCACAAGTGAATGTTTCCACTGTTTATTTCTTTGGTCCTCATTTTCTCATTCCTTCATGCCATTCATCTTTATGAAAACAATCTTTCCTGGGGTTAAAGAGGAAACACTCTCCAGGCCCGCTTAAACTCTGTTCTTGGTGGCTTGTGAGTCACACAGACAAGAAGGCTAGCAAGGGAAAAGGCAGGTTTTTATTTGTATAAGTAGAATTCACAGAAGAAAAGACAAAAGGCAGCCTGGATTTAGAGTTTGTATACCAGCTGAATAAGGGAGAGGGAGGTTAAGAGAAGGTGAAGGGGGGATGTCTTAGTTTGCTTTGAAGACCACGATCAAAAGCAGCTTTGGGAAGAAACTGGTTTATACGTCTAAATCACAGTGCATCACTGAGGGAACTCAAGGTAGGGAGGAACCTGGAGGCAGGAACTGAGGCAGGGACCATGGAGGAATGCTGCTTCCTGGCGCATGCTCCATGGTTTATTTAGCCTGATTGTTATACAAGTTAGGACCACCTCCCCAGGTGCACCACCACCCACAGTGGTCTGGGCTCTCTCATATCAATAGTTAGCCAAGAAAATGCCCCATAGACTTGCCTACAGATAAATGGAGGCATTTTCTCGGTTCAGGTTCCCTCTTCTAAGATGACCCTTGTGTCAAGTTGACAAAAAACTAACCACCACAGGGTACTGTAGGAAATTTGTTTTAAGGTAAATGGAACCCCATTGTTAGGTCTCAAAGAAACCTGGGACAAGTCTCTCAGTACCTGTGGCTCCTCCCAGCACTTCTCACCCGAGTCCCTACCCTAAACCTCCCCCTCCCTTCCCCCACCCAGGTCCCTACACAACTCAGGCTCAGCTACAGCAGTCTCCTGGCCTGTTGGTCTCTGGGCTCAGGTGCCTCTCTTGGTTGGCCTTTGGCTCCTCTCTTGCTCCTCCTCCCCCTCTTGCCTCTCATAGTCCAGTTTAGTCTGCTGGCCATGTCCAACCTGGACTCTTCCTTCTGCCTTCTTTCTCCCTTATAGCTACAGTAAAAATCTTCTTCACACCTTAGTAGTAGTCACGTCCTCCTTTATTTCATTTTCTCATTCATCCATGGAAAGAGAACAGGTGTGAAACATCAGCGTTTTGTGACAATGCCTGTGCCGTCTTTTCTGGTGATTGGGGTCAATATTACCTAGTTTTTAAAAATCCTAGGGAAAGTATTTATAACCATTAGTTAAGTCTGAAAATTGTTGGAAAACCAAATCTATGATTGTCTAATTAAAGCAAGCTTTGTTTAATACTGGCCAGGTCGATGAATTCCTAGAGAATGATGCTGAATTAGATTAGCCAGGTGTAGCCGGGCGGTAGTGGCACATGCCTTTAATCCAAGCACTTGGGAGGCAGAGGCAGGCGGATCTCTGTGAGTTCAAGACCAGCCTGGCCTGCAAGAGCTAGTTCCAGGACAGTCTCCAAAGCCACAGAGAAACCCTGTCTGGAAAAACCAAAATAAATAAATAAATAAATAAATAAATAAATAAATAAAGGTGAACTCTGTCCATCGGTCTACTTCCCCTCTCTTTCTTTCTCTGCTGTTTCTCTGAGGAGGCAGTTGTCTGTCTCACGATGTTTATCTTTTCCTCTCTTCTCTCTTCCCTTTCCCCAAAAACTTTCCACAGAAGTTCTGTCTTTAGGTCTCTGTTTCCCACCTGCTGTACTCCTAAGTTTCTCTGGGTAGCTTTGTAGCCTGTCCTGGCACTCACCCTGTAGATCAGGTTGGCCTCGAACTCACAGCGATCTGACTACCTCTACCTCCCAAGTGCTGGGATTAAAGGCGCGTGTGCCACCAATACCCAGCTGAAGTGGACAATTTTTTTTGTTTTTTGTTTTTTTTGTTATAGATTTATTTATTTACTTATTATGAACACAACATCCTGCCTCCATGTATGTCTGCACATACCAGAAGAGGTCACCAGATCTCATTACAGATGGTTGTGAGCCACCATGTGGTTGCTGGGAATTGAACTCAGGACCTCTGGAAGAGCAGTCAGTGCTCTTAACCTCTGAGCCATCTCTCCAGCCCCTGAAGTGGACAATTTTAAAAGAGATTGCAGACTCACACGTAGCCCAGGTGACTGCAACAGCCATAATCTCCTCACCCAGCCCTATAAAGGGTCCCTAGCTAACCATAAAAGAGAGAGGCTGCCCCTCGCTGTGTGTGCCAATAAACAGTCTCATCCGTTGAAGGTCAGATTCGGGTGTCTTTATGCTTTTTGTCTCTTTACTCTGACTCAGAAATCTAAGAGCCACCAGGGGCAGTTATTTCTTATTTGTATTTCACAAAAGGGCAAATTGAGTTGCAGTGAGTTTAAGTGCTTGCACAGCAGAACATCAGCAGGTTTTTTCTAGATAAATCTGGTGCATAACAGTTTTCTTGGCAGTACAACATTGTGACAACATAGACAATTTATCTAATCCTAGTTATCATGCGTAAACCATCAGTCATATCGCCCACGTGGTTCCAAATTCCAGCAAATCGACAATTAAGAATAACAGTCATGCTGGGCAGTGGTGGTTCAGGAGGCAGAGGCAGGTGGATCTGAACGAGTTCCAGGCCGGGTTGGTGTGTTCCTGGGTGGTCTCAGTTTGTAGTCTTTCCTGGAACCAGGTATCGCCTTATGGTAAACTGAAAACTCAGGCCTACTTGAGTCTTGGCATGGCAGCTGTATAGCAAAGCGGCAGGTGTGTACCAAGTTGCCCTGGGCCCTACACTGGGTGCTTAGGTCCATAAATCTGCTACCTCATTTTCCAAAGAAAATTTGAAACAGAAACTGGTAAGGGAAGATGGGTTTATTTACTATTGGGCCACACTGGGGGCAAGAACAGCTCCTGGTTTTTCTCTGTCCATTCTGTAGCAGCGCTACAGTTCTGAACCTGATGATGCAGAGGTCAGGAAATGTGACTCAGTGAGTCCTGGGAAGGCTTCCTGTGCTGCAGTCTCCTCCACCGGCACCAGGTGACCCCAGCACGGGCTTCCTGGGCCAAGCTTAATTCTGTGTTCTTCCTGTGGAGGCTTGGTGTGCAGCCTCATAGGCGAGGCTGGCTTTGGACTTGCAGCAATCCTCCTGCCTCTCCAGTGTTGGGATTACAGAAATGCGTTGCCATGTCCAGCTTGTTTTTTTTTTTTAACCAAAACATTCTCTTGTCATCCATCTTACTTCTGCTGCTAAGACCAAAGAGGCTCAGCTTTCTTTCTTGTTTTAAAAAAAGTATTATTTTTATTTTATTTATTTATTGTTGTTGTTGAGACAGGGTCTCATGTAGCCCAGGATGGCCTTGAACTCCCTGTATAGCTGGGGCTGGCTTTAAACTCACTACATCTCCCAATTGCTGGGATCACAGGCCTGTACCACCACACTAGGTCGAAAAGCCTTAGGGTCTATGAGTTTAGGCCTGTTTCACCAGTCCTTAGCCTACTACACTTTCACAACCAACACTTTTTGCATTTTCCCATCATCAGTTTTGCAGATGCCTACTCCTCATCTGCTTCTTGGTGTTATCAACCTTCAGCCAAGTGGGTGCCCAGCACAGGGGGCTCCACCATCTTGACACGGACAGACTTATCACAGTTGGGTGTCACTGAGAAAGTTGGGCATGGTAGCTTTTTCCTCATCCTAGGCCATTTCAGATAAGGGGGTATCCAGCAGCAATGACTTCCTTAGTCATGATGCTACCGGTGAAACCTTGGCCTCCTCCTGGTGATTTAGTGGCAGCAGGGACAGAATGAAATCTATAATTTAGAAACTGATGTGCGCCAGGCGGTGGTGGCGCACATCTTTAATCCCAGCACTCAGGAGGAAGAGGCAGGTGGATTGTTGTGAGTTTGAGGCCAGGCTGGTTTACAGAGTTCCAGGATAGCCAGGGCTACATAGGGAAACCCTGCCTGGAAAAACTAAAAGAGAAAAAAGAAGCTGATTTGTGTGACAGGATAGGCATTGCTATGTGGTCTTACTGAATTTTAGAACCCAGATGGCAACGAAAAATGTTTGCACACACTGAGCAGTGTCTTTCTAGATACGTCTCTCTGGCCATGGAGATAGGTGACATCATCCATTTGGAAATATGGCATCTGTATTCAGTTTTTCACCTGTGAAATAATGGACAGGAAATCATGAGTTAAGAAAATAATAAAGGCTGGGCATGGTGGAACCCACCTTTAACTCTAGAATTTGTGGGGGGCAGAGACAGGCAATCTCTGTGAGCTTGAGACAATTCTCTTGCCTCAGCCTCTCAAGTATTATTAGGATGATATCATGAGCCACCATGTATAACCTGTTTCAGTCGGAAATCGTTAGGTTTTAAAAACACATAAAGAAGAAAACAAAACAACAACCACGAACAGGCACAGTAGTCATGTCTGTATTCTCAGCACTCGGGAGGAGACAGAAGGATTGCCACAAGTTTAAGGCCAGTCTGATGTACAGAGTAAGACCCAGTCTCAAATTATAGACAAACAAAAAATTATAACACACACACACACACACACATACAGAGAGAGAGAGAGAGAGAGAGAGAGAGACTAGGTACTTACTGGACAGTAGTAACAGTCCTGATAATTTGATATACAGCAGTCTAGGTTTGGTTTTTGGTTTTTGGTTTTTTCGAGACAGGGTTTCTCTGTGGCTTTGGAGGCTGCCCTGGAACTCGCTTGATAGTCCAGGCTGGTCTCGAACTCACAGAGATCCACCTGCCTCTGCCTCCCGAGTGCTGGGATTAAAGGCGTGCGCCACCAACACCCAGCGCAGTCTAGGTTTTTAAATGCATGAGTATACTTTTTAATTTTCGTCTCAAACGTCATCGTTTCCCTATTACTTAAAACCAGCTTGTTTCATAACAAGTTTTTCCTGTGCCATTAAATATTTGCTCCATTTAAAAAATTCGATTTTATGCAGTAGAGAATGAACGTGTGTGTGTGTGTGTGTGTGTGTGTGTGTGTGTGTGTGTAAATCATTATTGCCCAAAAGACGGCACAGGTGCGTAATAGTGGAGACGAGGCTCCTTGCAGATCTGCAGCAGGCCTGCAGGAACACGCAGTTAACAGGGAAGAGGCACTGAAGCCGGAGGCATTTTCCACTGATCTCTGAGAGATGATGTTGCCGTCTAATGACTCGCCTCTTGGTGTAACCGTCACCCATCTGATGATAGTTTAGGGGAGGATGGCCTGGAAGACCCATCTCCACTGCCCCCTGGTGGCTGCTATTCAATCACACAGACGGTAAAGAATTTACCTTTTTCTTTCTTTTACTGGTCCTATTAGATTTCTTGCTATGTTTCCAAATAGATGTGAAGGTGTCTGAAGAGATCCTGGGAGTGACCGTAATTTTTAAGGGTGGTAGTTTACCTGAGCAAAGAGAGCATAAGCATAAATGAACAGAATAGCTCGCTCTTTCTAGGGGGTGCCCTCAGGTCTAAGAGCCCAGCAGGAGTTACATCATTAGATTTGGCTCATGAAGAACTCACCGATAAAGTTGGGCATGGTGGTACTCAGGAACTCTAAATCCTAGGACTCTGGAGGCAGGAGGATCAGCCTCAGTTACATAGCCAGCTCAAAGTCACCCTATCTTGAAACAAGTCAAAACCAAGGGAAGAGAAGATGAGGGAAGAGATAAAGGCAAAATGAACCGAACTCCTTCTTTAGCAGTAAGAAAGTTAGTGTGATTTCATGAAAGGAGAATTAGAAATTCTGTTGTTGGCTTGCAAATGATGGGAACACAGAAGACACCAAAAGGACATCAGTTTTATAATCAGTGATGTTTCTAATGGTTTTTCAAGGTCTAAAATGATGCCTTTAGGGCTAAATGACAAGTGATTCGCCCTGTGAAATCCAAGCAGCTAACCCTTTCTTGAGGACTCTTCACTGGTGTTCAAACTAACAACCTAATTAAAGTGCTCTGTCAGAAACAGCCCATAATGATTCCAGCTCATGAGATAAACGCATTAAAGCTATTCACGATACACACTTAGACTAAATCTCAAAATCGCTGATTTCTTGAGCCATAGATTGCTCTTTAATGCCATTTAAATGAGTGGCACTCCCTAATTAGCCTCTCATTTATGTAAATTGAGCCATTTGCTAAGCGAGTAAGACACTTTCCACAGATAGGTACTCTGTGAAAATCATTTCCCATCAAGTCACCGGAGGCTGTCTCTCATTCCATTCCCTGCAGTAATGGTGGGGAGATTGCCTGCAGCTCTGAAATGGTTTCTGCCAGGTAGAGTGAGAAGTTACGGCACCAGGAAAATCAAAGCGCGGTCGTGACCTGCCTTCTGCTTATTGCACTTAAAGTTAGGTTTAACAGAGTAATCCCGCTGAACCTCATCTCAACTCTAATGGAACAAGAAGTGGGTGTTCTGTTTCTCTAAAAGAAAAGGATAATTGAAGAAAAAAGTCTTAGGATCATTTACTTGGCCATTAAACATGCATGGCTTTAGTTTGGAATGGAACAACACAGCAGACCACACAGCCCTGTAATTCTCTTTAAAACACTGACAGCAAAGGTGAGACACAACCTCTGACCTTTTTACTACGGAAATGATGAAGACAGGATGCTGCTGCCCCGAGTCCTCCCCACCCGACCTGCCCCTCACTCTCCTCAACACTGAATTTCATTTTAACATGTGTCCATGTTTTACATCAAGCTACATTTAAAATGACATTTCTTGCTCTCCCTGTAAAAACAGTAAGAACACAGTAAAGGAGAGGCCAGGGGCAGTCGCCATTAATAGACCTGGCTTCTCTCATTTTCAAAAGGTTACATGCTCCCAAGTCACTCAGTGTTGCCTGCCACTTAGAGCCAAACCCCTCTTAAATTATTAATAAGTACACTGTGATCCTTGCTCTCTCTCTTTTCCTTCTTCTCTCTCTTTGTCTCCATGGTATCCTCATGTAGCCCAGGTTAGCCTCAAACTGAAAGACTCCAGTGCCTGGCTGGCTCAGTTGTGGTCTTAGGATGGTTGCTACTTCAGTTTTACAATCAATTTCTGTACAAATCACTTGAGGTTGGGCTGAGAGGAGAATAGAGAACAAGAGAAAACTTTCTTAGGCAATAAGAAAGCAACGGGAAGTGCTGGAGAGATGGCTCAGAGGTTAAGAGCATAGGCTGCTCTTCCAGAGGTCCTGAGTTCAATTCCCAGCAACCACATGGTGGCTCACAACCATCTATAATGAGATCTGGTGCCCTCTTCTGGTGTGCAGGCAAACATGCAAACAGAACACTGAATACATCTTTAAAAAATGGGCATGGTGTGTGTGTGTGGGGGGGGGGACAGAAAAAGCAAAAGCAATAGAGAAAAATTCATTGAAAAAGCAAAAACTCAGCCAGGCTGGGAGGCGTGCTGTAAGTTCCAGCTACTTCAGAGGCTGAAGGGAAGAAACCTAGAGACTAGCCTAGAAGTATAGGGGAAAATCATGAACCAAAGGCTCAAAGGGTACATATAACACTGTAAAAGTCCTTGAGCTCTGTACAAGTCTCTTGGCATGTTGACACAATGGTGGCTGGCCTTTGACAATGCCCCAGCCATTGCACAGCTCAGATTTGTTCTTTAAATACAAACAAACCAACTAAAACAATGGGGCAGTTGTGATTAGTTCAGGGCCTGGGGAGAAGGGGATTCAACTTTACCTGTCTTCCTGGCTCTCAGCGCTTCCAGGATGTCAACTGCAGCCATTTCTCCCAGGACATTGTTTCCAAGGTCAATTTCCCTTAAGTGAGTAGAGTATTTGATCAGGCTTTATAGAGAAAACAACAGAACAAAATGTCTTTATGCCTTGCGTAACTCATGGTCCCTCCAAGAAAGTAAACCTAGACTTTCAAAGAATGACCTTTCTTTTCAGGACCCTCCAGCCTCCCTACCTCTTCCCAAGCTGATACAAAAACCCGACTTAAGAGTAGAGAGGTCTTTAATCCCAGCACTCAGGAGGCAGAGGCAGGCGGATCTCTGTGGGTTTGAGACCAGCCTGGTCTACAAAGTGAGTTCCAGGACATCCAGAGCTACACAGAGAAAGCCTGTCTCAAAAACCAAAACAAACAAAAAGAAGACCTAGAGTAGATTCTCTGAGATCAGTAACACTGGTTAGTTTCTAGCCAAATGTACAAGAAGAAGAACAATGTCCAATGTCAATGAAAGAGAAGATGTCTCCACAGCTTCTAGTTTCTAAAAGGACAATAAAGAAATATGAAAAACTTTATTCTAATAGATCTGACAATGTATTCAAACAAATTCTTTGAAAGAAACAAATTAGAGAGCCAGAGATCCTTAAAATAATATTTATTTCTTTGTTTCAGTGTATAGGGTTGAACCCAGGGCCTTGTGTGTTTCAGGTAAACTCTAGCACAAACCTAACATATACTTCTTTGAAAAAAGAGTTTTGATTAAAAATCTTCCTTGCTAAGTGTGATGGCACGTGCCTGTAACCCCTATGTCCAGAAGGCTGAGGGAGGAAGGTCATGAATTTGAGACCAGCACGGGCTGTGTAGTGAGACTTGTATAAACAACAGAAAATAAAAACCCCTGCTAAGAAAGCTCCAGGTGTCAAGGGCTTCACTAATGAATCTGCCAAATTAAAGGACACCATAATTATAATACCATAGAAGTTGTGTCATGGAACAGAATGGGAGGGGACACTTCCTAAGGCCAGAAAGACTCTAGCCCAAGCAGGCTAAGATGTTACAAGGAACAAAAGTATGACTCTGTGTAGCTCATGAATGTAAACACAAAAATCCTGAACACATTTTCAAGCAGTTTATACCAGTAATATATTAACTTCAATAAAATATTGAAATAGAAGTTATTGATACAATTATCTGGGAAAGGGCAGCATTGGTTGCTAGTTGGGAAGCCTTCTTGAATAAGGAAGAACAAAGAAGGAACCTTTTTCTGCTGGGATAATAAATTGCTACCCTTCAGGCCTCAGACCTCAGCTGTGCCCAGTGCTCTTGGCCACCTGTGATGCTGTGGCCCTGGCCACGAGACTGTGCTGCCCAGAGCCCTTTTTACTCCGCAGTTCCTGCAGTGGTCACAAGCCCTGCCAATGGCTCCTGCAGCTTAAGGTGTGGGTTCAGTAGAGATGAGTTGGGGGATGCCTGAGGTTGTCAAAATAAGCATGACAAGGAAACAGCATTTTCTAGAAGCTTCCAAAAATTATAGTTCTATCTTTCTGCTTTGGGAGTCCAGGGTGGATAGCTTTTTTTTTTCCTGAGCGAGGGTTTCTCTGTGTAGCTTTGTGAGCCATACAGCCCTCGAACTCACAGAGATCCGCCTGCCTCTGCCTCCTGAGTGCTGGAGGAATTAAAGGTGTGCACCATCAATGCCCAGTGTTGGATAGTTTTCTAACCAAACACAAGAATGTGTGCTCCAAGCAGGTTGCCTTTCCTCCTCAGTTACATTGATCAGGTTTTTGTTATTATTATTACTGTTATTATTCAGTTTTTCAAGATAGGGTTTCTCTGTAGTTTTGGAGCCTGTCCTGGAACTCACTCTGTGGACCAGATTGGCCTTGAACTCACAATATCTGCCCACCTCTGCCTCCCAAGTGCTGGGATTAAAGGCATGCACCACCACTGCATTGCTCAGGTTTTGAGTTATATCCTGATCTTAGGAGTGGAGAGATGCTCTAATTCTTGCCTCCTATATTGCCTCATCTGCCACCCTTTTAATAAGAAGCTCCTGGTGAGGTTTCTGAGGGGCCCAAGTGCCAAGACCAGGGCTGGTAAGCGCCCCTCTGCAATCTGAGAAGCCACACAAGAATTGCTTAAGAGCTGTGATCAGCCCTGTGGTTTAACTTTGGCACCTTAGTTTGAGAGTGGATGAATTCAAAGCTCTGTTCCCTACCATGTTAAAGTTCGAGTGAGGTCCAGCAATTGCTCTCCCTCTTTTCCTGTCCTATCTATGCTGTTATCTGCCAAATGCAGCGTCACTACCCAAGGGCCGGCTTCCATCAAACGTTTAACTTTTTTCCCGATTCCTGCAAGGAAAATCAGAATACTGGTATTATTTTTAGATGATAGCTCCCCTGTTTATTACCAGCTAAATGATTTTTAAGTAGAGTTTGCACATACTGGGTTTGTGAATAGATTTATTTTGCAACATGATCAATGAATAGACTATATGTGTTTTGGAAGTCCTGGTTTTGCATTTGGTTCTGCTTCATTCTTTACAACAGAGGCCCCTGATTGCATAATAGACAATCCCATCTCAGAGTCAGATAGTGACTGACAATCTAACTAAAGAGGACTATTTCTTAATGAATGAATTAAGTGAAAGAGGGTTTAGGTCATTGTAGAGATCTGAGAAGCGGTCTCACCTTTTGAGCTTTGAACTCTAGAAAACATCAGAAGGAGAAAGGACGACCTGTCTCAGTGACTCATGACTACATCACTGAGGGCAGGAGTCCTGCGTCTCGTTCACCCTCCTCGTCTGCTGAGATTTCTCGAGAGGTCATTGTGAGAGCCGGAGTGACACAGCAAACACATTTAACTCACCCCAGTTCAGTTTTAGGAGTTTGGGAAAGAAGAAAACACGAAGGGGCGGAGCAGAGCAAGAGAAACCGGCTGCCAGCATAAGTCAAGTTCATCCACTCAAGCCAGGTGAGAGGGAAATCTGAATCCCTGGCCCCCAAGCCTCAAAGCTCCCATGTTTACCGCTATTATATGTATGTGACACATGACAGATACTTGAATGCTCATGAATGAATTAATGAATGCCTATCAGATCGTTAAGTACAATCAAGTCATTGAAACATTTACCATTCATTGTTGTGTTTTCAGTATAATGTCTCGATTCCACTCATGAACATGAACAGAATATGATTTTTCTTTTTTTGAGACAGGGTTTCTCTGTATTTTTTGAAGGCTGTCCTGGAACTTGCTCTGTAGACCAGGCTGGCCTCGAACTCACAGAGATCCACCTGCCTCTGCCTCCCGAGTGCTGGGATTAAAAGCATGCACCACCAACGCCCGGAATATGATTTTTCACTTACAAATTTTTTTTCACAAATCTAAATGCCTTTGAGAGCCGAGTCTCTGCCCTGACGTTGTGGACACTGATCATACCAGCTCTCATTTCTTTCTCCCAGTTTCCATACACCAGAAAGTAGCAATGGATAAAATCTAAACCAACATGTAAAGAGAAGCCTTTTCCTTGCCTGCTGCTTTAGTTTTTCCCCACCAGTCGCCTGGGCTCTGCCGTGTTGTAGTCCCCAAATAACACACAAGATGCTGTATTAATTATGAAGCATGTGGGTGCCTTGTTTGTTTCTTACTGGCTAGCTCTGACTTAAGTATTTAACCCGTCTAAGTATTTCTCTTACCAGACAGACATCTTACTTCTCTGGCGGGCTACATGATGACTCCCTGTGTTTTTCCTACCCAGAGTCCTCCTGGACTCCTAGTCCCACCTATCTTGCTTCCCTATTGGCCAACAGTGTTTTATTGACATATACCCAGGACTTCTGCATCACCAACAGGCTGGGGATAAGGACTGAAGGCAAAGTCCTGTACAGATGCTCAGCTTTGAAAGGAGAGCCAGGTACTCAGTGTCCTGATTTATAAGCTTGGTGTAAATGTGTGCCTGTGGAGAGAGAGCCTGCTAGCATCCCCATGGGAAAACTATCTAAACTGCCCCCAAACTGGCATCAAGGAGTAGTGAAAATATCATCTTTGCCCACGACGAATGGACCAGATTAGAACGTTGACCTCTCATGAACTTCAGGAACTCTCAAAGAAGGCAGGAAGACAGCTGCTGCTCAGGTCAGTGGTCCTGCTCTGGAGTTTTAACCAAAGCAACATCAAGCTCCTTTCTCTGGATGGAAAACAAATTCCTTGCACTACAGATGAGGACACACTCAGCCCCTGGTCATACTTGATCTGCCCCAGCTGTATTCACTCTAATCTATTTTTATTCAATCTTATTTTCATTACTTTAAAACTAAGCAAGGTGTGAGGTGAGGAGATGGCTCAGCAGTTAGGATTACTGGCTGTTCTTCCAGAGAACCTGGGTTCCATTTTCATTACAAATATCTACAATTCCAATTTCAGGGGAACCAATACTCTTTTTTTTCTGGCTTCTGTGGGTGCCAGACCTGCACATGGAGCACAGACAAGATACCCCACCCACACACACACAAAACAGGATTTCTAACAATAACTGTCTGAATGTGCTTCTCTGTCACTAAGAACCTGACTTTGGCATAGCCATGCCCTGTGATGCTCGAGAGGGTGTATGGTACACAGAATACCCGGGTTTCAAACCTCTCTTGAAAATGTCCTGTGGCTCCTACAAAGTACCTAAACATGTCTGAACCTTATTGTAAAAGAGAGGCCATGACCCTACCTCCCAGCAATTGGGAGCACTTTTAATGACCAGATGTCAAGGACACAGGGCATGGCAAATAGCGGTGCCTTGCTTCCCAGTGTCATCTCTGAGTTCCCCGAGCTCTCCAAACACTGAATGCAAGCAGCCTGGTAGCTTACTAACAAGCTGTCTACCTAGCAAAGGGTCAGACATGTTTCTGACACTGGCACAACTAACTGGAAACCACTCTGCAGAGTGACCCAGGCCCACCCGGAGGAAGGAGTTTCCATCTTCCAGGTGGTCCATTGTCTATGTCTTGAAGAACTGCCCAAGAACAAGGGCTCAGTTCCACTATGTCACTCTGTCACTCACTGTCCCACTTTGAAACATAATCTTAGCATTCAGGAAGCAGAGGCAGGAGGATCAGGAGCTCAAGGTCATCCTCAGTTACTGATGAGTTCAAGGCTCTCCTGGGATACTTAAGACACTGTCTCAAAAACCAAACACCAACCAACCAAACAAACAACAAAGCAAGCCACCAATGACAAATAATAAACAATAAAATAATAATAAAGCAAAATCCTAATAATGAAAACAAGATCCCTAAAGCTCCAAACAAACAAGCAAGCAAATACTCAAAACCATCATGACTCCATGTTATTGAATGGGAACTGCTCATAGGCACATGACTTCCAGCTGGAGGCGCTGTTTTGGGAAGTTGTGAAAACTGTGACGAAGAGCCCAGCTGGCCATCATATGTCACTAGAAGCCAGCGTTGAGTGCTAGTCCCTCTCTGGTTCTGGCCTGTGGTCTCTGCTCCCTGACTGGCCGCTGTGTGTGAAGCTCCACCCCTTGCTCCTGTGGCTTGAGTCAGAATAAGCCGTTGCTCCTTTACTCCGCTAATTGCTTCTGTCGGATGTTCGTCATAGCAATGAGACTGCTGCAGCTTAATGTTCTTGTTAGGGTCCACTGGCCTCCTCAGTCACACCAGCAGCCGCTCCCCCACGCCACACTCTCCAGTGTGGACCACAATATCGTCCTCCTTCTCTGAGCTTTTTCTCACGGGCGCGGGTGGGGGCGGGGGTGGCACTGTGCTTAGAATGACCTCTTTCCAGCGGTCACACCTCTCATTCCTTCCCCTGAGTGTTCTCTGTGCGCCAGATCCCAAAGGCCAAGTGTCAATGTTCCTCCAAGACAGCTTCATCCTCTCCCTCACCCTCTGGTCTCTGGGTTCAGCAGGGCCAGGGGTACCACACGTTCTGTAGGCACCAGAGGCTGCAGTGCTCATCTGTAGATACCAGGCCTGGTGAGAGCTCTTCCTGTGGTAGAATTCTTTTAAAGTTGTTTAAATATAACATCTTCCCATTGACAATGGACATGTGCAATTTCCCATGTACTACCAGTTTTATGAAACTGAACAGAAAGTTCATTATCAAGCTGATGGGGCTCTAGAAAGCAAAATGTGAAGAGTGCTAGCTGATTCAAACCTGGGTCCTGACACCTTTCTGTAGGGTCCTGACACCTTTCTGTAGGGTCCTGGCACCTTTCTGTAGGGTCCTGGCACCTTTCTGTAGGGTCCTGGCACCTTTCTGTAGGGTCCTGGCACCTTTCTGTAGGGTCCTGACACCTTTCTGTAGTGCCCTGGCACCTTTCTGTAGGGTCCTGACACCTTTCTGTAGGGTCCTGACACCTTTCTGTAGGGTCCTGACACCTTTCTGTAGGGTCCTGGCACCTTTCTGTAGGGTCCTGACACCTTTCTGTAGGGTCCTGACACCTTTCTGTAGGGTCCTGGCACCTTTCTGTAGGGTCCTGACACCTTTCTGTAGGGTCCTGGCACCTTTCTGTAGGGTCCTGACACCTTTCTGTAGGGTCCTGACACCTTTCTGTAGGGTCCTGACACCTTTATGTAGGGCCCTGGCACCTTTCTGTAGGGTCCTGACACCTTTCTGTAGGGTCCTGACACCTTTCTGTAGGGTCCTGGTACCTTTCTGTAGGGCCCTGGCACCTTTCTGTAGGGCCCTGGCACCTTTCTGTAGGGTCCTGACACCTTTCTGTAGGGTCCTGGCACCTTTCTGTAGGGTCCTGACACCTTTCTGTAGGGTCCTGACACCTTTCTGTAGGGTCCTGACACCTTTCTGTAGGGTCCTGCCACCTTTCTGTAGAGGTTCCCATTCTATGTTCGGCTGTCATCCCAGGATGAAATCATGAATACAATAATTTCAGGATTCTAAGTGGAAACTTCCTGTTTTTGAATTTTTCAAATGGCTTTTGAAGATTACATCTTGACTCTTGAACTGGACCCTTGCATTCCTTACTGCCACTGGTATTTCTGTGGGCTGTGACATTGGTATAAACAATAGTGCCTTATTTGGAGAATTGAACATGACACTTGGGCAGCTTGGTACTGTAGTCAAGTTCTGATCTCACTCGGGATCTTGGAAGGACAGTTTTGGGATTGGACATTGCTCCTGTTCATATCTAAGTCACATACTGATCTTTCTCTTCCTAAATCCTCCAGAACTAAAACAGCCCTGGGGATAGCTACACTGTGTAGCTTTACTTGGGAAAAGGGTAGTCCCAGAAAAGACGCTCCTTGCTCCCCCCTATGTCTTCTGGGAATTTGGGGGCCTTGAGGTGACAAGGCAGGAGCCGTGGAATGACTCAGGAGAGCCATGTTATCCTCAGGTGGCTACTCCTAGTAACCATTGGGTGACCCCTAGTCTTTACCATCTACTGCTGAATAGTTTGTGACTAGGCTGTGGAAAAGCTGGATGTCACCTGCTTGAAGGCTGACCAGCCTCTAAACTCTTTACCCTCGTGTAGACAGAGCCTGGGTCTCAGAGCTGAATCCATGGAAGGCTGGATGAGCGAGCAGCCCAGCAGGATGGGCCTACTTGCTCTGTGGTTCCCAGGGCACAGGAGAGCCATATAGAGGAGCCTCACTCTGCTGTCTCATCTTCACTGAGCAAAATAAACCTAGGGAGGCAGTCCATGTTTTCAAGTCTACAGAAGTGGTTCTCAGTGACTTCTGGACCAACAACCTCAGCCTCACTGGGGACTGAGGGATGGCATCCAAGCTCTCAGGGGGGCCATTGATGGCCTTTCCTCAGGACCCTGCAGGATGGCGCCCACAAGATGGCACACACAGGATGGCGCACAAGCTCTCAGGGGACCCTTGATGGCCTTTCCTCAGGACCCTGCAGGATGGCGCCCTCAAGATGGCGCCCACACTATCAGGGAACCTTTGATGACTAGCAGGACCTTTGATGACTAGCACTGGTTTAATGATTCTGTGTGTTCTGTGGTACACCAATGACCAATGGCTGGGACAGGCATGTGTACAACTGCAGATAGTCACACCTGTGCTGTGCTCCACCATCGAACTAGAGATGGTCTCCAGATATCAGTTTGTCTGGTTTTTGTGATCATCACTGTAAATGTTCTTAGGACTCCAAATTGGGAGGGGGGAGGCTAGGCTTCTGAGTGGTATTGTGGGGATGGCTTTCCAAGCATTAGGAGAAAAAAAACCTCCTGTTCACAAAGGGGTTCGCATGAGAATATTTTGGCTGTTTCCAGTTAGGACCAAATGGAAACCATCTGGCCTCATCACGCAGGAGTGCGGCACAATCAGCTCATCTCAGCCCCTTTTGAAACAGGTAGAGTCCTACCAAAGACCAGATTCTCTCCCCCAACCCCCATGACTGTTAAGCAGTTGTCCAATGTAGCCACTATGTAGCCCTGGCTAGCCTACAACTCTCTAGGCAGATCAGGCTGGAGTTGGATTCTTATGGCTCCACCTCCCTCTGGCTCATGAGGCATGTGCCATCATGCCCTGCCTTTGAGAAGGTATTTTGAAGTTTTGTTATGACTGAAAATACAAACATATATATAATAGATGAAAATTGTTCGACTGAGTTCAGGCTGAGGACACTAATGGCTTCAATTGTTTCCTGGGTCAAATCCAAGCCTTTGTCTTGGCTTGCAGGTCCCTTGATGTGATCCATTCCCTCAGGATGGCCAGCCTCACGCATCCCCTTGTCTTGGCCAGACTTGTAGGCTCCTGGATGGTACTGGGATGGTCTCTCCTACTTAAGTCCTTCCTCGCCTACATTCTTTCTTGGTCCCACCCTAGGTCAGCTTGTCCACAAGCTTTGTCTCCAATCCCAGCACTGGAGCAGAGAACACACTAAGGGCCATTTCTTTGGACTTGGAAACGCTGACTGCCTTCCCTATCAGGACTACCCATGGCAGCCAGTGCAGCAGGGCCTGATAGGCTTTCTTGCTTCATGTTTGCCTCTCTTTCCTCCCTCTCCCTTCTCCTTCTTCCCCCAGGGTCTCATATAGCACAGGTTTGCCTCAAACTTTGCTTTATAGCTGAGGGTAACCTTGAATTCCTTATCATCCTCCTTCTGTACCCCAGCCAACGAGGGCATGCATGCACCCTGCTTTACATTTTCATGTGGCTTTTGGACCACAAGACTTTGTAATTTTCTAATGTAGCAGTATTTCCCAGAGAAGATTCAAGGATAATTCAAAGGCAGAGAAAAAAAAAAAAAGACCACACAAGAACAGATTCAAATTGAAGAAGAAAGCCCAAGGGGATTAGGTTTCACTCAAACAGCTGGTTGTCTCCCCCACAAATGCAAACTACAGACCACCAGACTCAAAACACAGCAGCACCTCCCCGAGCTTCAAACCCAGCAGAACTGCTGCACTGGGTGCTTAGAACTTTAGTGTGTTTAGTGCCTGCACAGGAGTCTGCGGGGCTGAGTCTGCCCTTTGCAGAGTGGGATGCTGAGAGCCAGGCAGGGTAGGAGTGCCAGGAGCAGGGTCTGGGGATGCAGTGACACTGGGAACTTTAGCCCCCCCCCCACGGAAGGCTCTCCGGGGTAGAATTCGTAGAATTCAGTGTTTTCTCTTTCTGTCTCCCTCCCCCTTTCCTCCTCCTCCCTTGCCACTCCTTGTAGCTCTCTTTCTGCCCCTCCCCATCTCTCTCTAAGCCCCTTCACCGTCACCCTGGTTCTAACTCTGAGTAACCGGACTTCTGAGGCCTTGCTGGCAGCTCCTGGGAGAATTGTTCCAAACCGTGTGCTTCCGGAATGTTGACTGTGTCCATAGTGAATCTCTCTGGCAGACATGGGGAAACTGCGCATGGGTGGTTTGTGTGCGGTCACAAGACATTGGATCTCCTTTTTCTCCATCTGACTTTAAGTCTTTGTTTGGGATAATTATGCACGAGGGATACACAGGGAGTGAGCTAGAACGTGAAGGGAGTGGAAGGAATAATTAAAAGGACAACAAAAATACCTCTTTTCCCCCTTTCCCTCTGTGAGGTCCTTTTCACTGTTGCAGCTTCGGAAGATTTCACAATCTGGCTCAAAGCTGAGCTTCCTCCCAGGCACACTGGTTTAAAAGAAAAAAAAAACAGGGTCAGAGTCAAGGAGGAGGTTTTCGGCATACTTTGGTATTGGTGATTGATTGCTGTCATTTTATGGACACCTTGTGCAAGGCCATTTCTCTTGGGAGAGAGTTAGCTGAACACCGTCAGAATGGCTCCAGTTCTGTCGTCTGTAGTTCCCTGCTGCAAGGCTACAGGCTAACGTGTAGCTCAGTAGAGCCCAGTAGAGCTCCCAGAGTCATCCTGCAGTTGGTTGACACCCTCACGCCACAGCTGCTTCCTGTAAACGCGGCTGCTCCACCTTCCTGGGATTACCATGAACGGTCAGGGAGGAACACATTTGGCTGGTGTGCAAGAACTGTGTAGGAGCAGGGCGGTGGCGGCGCATGCCTTTAAAGCCTGCACCCAGGAAGCAGAGGCAGGAGAATTGCTGAGTTCAAGGTCAGTCTATAGAGTGAGTTCCAGGACAGCCAAAGCTACACAGAGAAACCCTGTCTTGAGAAACAAAACAAAACACCCCAAAACAACAACAGCTGAAAAACAAAAATAACCCCCCTCCCTGCAAAACCTGTGTATGTTGAGGCTAGGGATGCAGCTCGGTCTTTAGAGGGCTTACCTCAGCATCATACACAGCACCACTCTAGAGCCCTGCTAGGTCCTTCTTCCCTAGTCCCTGCACCCACATGCAATTGGAATGGTGCAATGCAGAATCCGACCTGCCTGCTACCTCCCTACTCTCGCCCTAGCCTCACTTAGGAAGGTGGCTCCTGTGTAGGACAGCAGGTCCCCAGCATGTCTCCTCCTCCCTGAGTCTGTGTGCCACACAGATGGAGGACTCTTTATCCTACTCAGCCCCGTTCGTTCTAAGCTGCAGGTTCCATCACCTTCTGCCCCTGTGGTGTGTACAGGGACTGGTGATCCTGGCACAAAGACCCTAAGGTTTAGGTGTTCCCTTGGCCTCCTTCATTGAGCTCCTTTCTTCCAGGGAGTATGGCAGAGAATGACAGAGGGGAGATCTGGATGTCCTGCTCTAGCCACTCCATGATCAGACACAAGCATGTATAAACACGCACTCACAGACATGCAACACACACACACACACACACACACACACACACACACCATGTACCCACCCTTACACTCAAAGAAGGCCAGCAAGCACCTGATTCTTTATTTACAATCCTATTCTCTCCTCCTCTTTTCACTACTAAACCACACCCCTTTTCTTGTTTCCACATCAATTATTTCTTTAAAAAATTCTGTCTGCCTCTGTCTCTGTTTCTCTCTGTGTCTCTTTCTGTCTCTCTTCCTTCCTCCCCCCCTCTCTCTGTGTGTGTGTGTGTGTGTGTGTGTGTGTGTGTGGCCTCTGTCTCTGTTTCTCTCTGTGTCTCTTTCTGTCTCTCTTCCTTCCTCCCCCCTCTCTGTGTGTGTGTGTGTGTGTGTGTGTGTGTGTGTGTAGGGACAGGGGTGCAGATGCACTCACTTATGTGGGCACATATGGAGGTAGCAGTCTGCATTAGTATCTTTCTCTGTCACTCTACACGATTTTTTGAGATAGGGTTTCTCCCTGAACATGTGTCTTACAGTTCCAGCTCGACTGGCTGGCCAGAAAGCCCCTGGGACCCAAATAGCCTCCACCTCCACAACCATGGGGTTATAGTGTACACTATCATGCCTGGCTTCTACATGAGTGTTAAGGATCTGAACTCAGGTTCTTATACTTGCTTTTACAGCAAGAACTTTACTGAGCCATCTCCCTAGCCCCCAATGGTCTCTATCAATTATAAAATGTATATATTTATTTCAGTATTTCATCTTGTAAATATTGACACCATCTAGATGCATGCACACCTATGCACAAGCATACAGTGTTCTCAGACTCCCCTCAAGGGCAGAGTGCTTTGCTTTCTTTACGTTTACTTATTTTTATTCATTTAGGGCGGTAGATACTGTGTGTGTGTGTGTGTGTGTGTGTGTGTGTGTGTGTAAGCATGCACATGGTAAAGTCAGAGGACAATTGAGAGTTGGTTCTCTCCTCCCATCGTGTGGGTCCTGGGGATTAAACTGGGTCACCAGGCTTGGGAACAAGAGCATTTCCTGAGAATGCTCTGCTCTGTTCTGTGCAATGATGTATTCCAAACATCCAGGAGTACTGGGGACACATTGAGGCTTGCACATGAACACAATGGAGAAAGGAAGGTGAATAGTTTTTAAGATTATGGGGGGGCTGGAGAGATGGCTCTGAGGTTAGGAGCACTGGCTGATCCTCCAAAGGACCCAGTTCAATTCCCAGTGCCCACATAGCAGCTCACCCATCTGTAACTCCAGATTCAGGGAACCTGACACCCTCACACAGACACACATGTAGGCAAAACACCATTGTGCATAAAATAAATATAAATCATTTTAAAAAAGAGTTGTATTGTAGTTCTAGCTGAGAGGTGGTGGCACACATCTTTAATCCCAGCCCTGGGTAGGCAATGGCAGGTGGATCTCTGTGAGTTCAAGGCCAGCCTGGTCTACAGAGTGAGTTACAGTATAGTCAGGACTATTACATAGAAAAACCCTGCCCCCCCCACAAGGAAAAAATTATGTTTACATGTTGTAACAACTAAGAGACTAAACTTGCCACTGTGCCTGAGCCTGACAGGAAGACATTGTTATGGGGTGGAGGGTGGGAGAGGCTCACAGAACAGGAGACTAAGTGCTCAGGCCTCTCAAAGAAATCTCTAAACATTTTTTGCTGGGTTGGGGAGCACTTGATTAACATGTACCCAGCCCTGGGGTTCCGGTCTCAGCACACATGTGTGCATACACAAACACACACATTCACTCATGACTACCTAAATGAGTACTGAAAGCTTATTACACTGCAAGGTACACTCTACTTACTTATTTATTTATTTGTTGTTTTTCCAAGACAGGGTTTCTCTGTGTAGTTTTGGCTGTCCTGGACATAGCTTTGTAGACCAGGCTGGCCTCAGACTCACAGAGATCCACCTGCCTCTGCCTCCTAAGCAGTGGGATTAAAGGCGTGCGCCACCACTGCCCTGCATAGCTATTTTTTAAAATCACATTTTATTTATTTGTTTAATGTCTGTGTGTGCGTGTCGCATAGGTCAGAGAACCACTTGCGGGTCTCTTTCCACCATGTTCCAGGCTCTGCCGCAGCTGCCATCACTGCCTGGCCACCTCGCTGGCCCCTAACACTTTTAATATTAAATTGCAATTTCCCCCTAGGAGAAACTACCCAAGGCAGCTGGAGTCGGGATCCCCACGTCGCCACCTTGCATCCTGGGGTTCTTTTCCCTATCCACCTGCCATCTGCCACACACCACCCTCGAGACATCGCTTTTACATTACAATGTTGCAAGACAACCCCCCCCCCCCCCCAGCTATTCTGAGCCCACAGCTACAGTAGATGGTGGCTCTTTACAAAAGCAGGTAAAAGCACTGCATGCAGAGACATGCAGGATGCCAAGTCGTGTTCCCTGGTTTCTTTGGTGCTCCGAAAGGCTTGGCTCAACAGTGATCTGGGTGATTCTGGTCCCATGAAAGTCCCTAAGGAGGTGACAGCTGTTGTCAGCTACAGGTTCTTTGCATTATTCTCCCCCCCAAACTGCCTTTTCTCAGCTCCCCATGCCCACTTTCTTCCCCAGGAATAGAACAACCGAGTTTCCCACAGTGACAGAGTTTCTTCTGCCAGGAAACGTCAGCCTGCTGTAATGGTGAGGGTGACTGATGTCCCTCAAATACATGCCAGTCCTTCCCAAACAAGGAAGGTAATTATCGTAATGCTCATTTTGTAGCTGAAGACCCTGAATTGTGCTCGGAGTCCCACACAGGTATGCACCTGTCTGTGCTATTAGCCATTCCGTACAGACAACCAATTATTAAAAGTAGTCTGCTTTCAAATGTACCATAAGCATGCATTCTTAGGACTCACTTAAATGAAAAGCGGAAATGGTTTATCTGTCCTGCATCTGTCTGCCTGCTGTCTGGGTGAGGACACGTTCTCTTTAGGAATCACATAACCCTGGCACAATACTCCCCACAAGGTAGGCATGTAATGAGTCCTGTCAATCACAGCTCATCATGACCTGGGAACGTAGATTCTGGATGTAGGTATGGGAACCAAAGAGGGCCAGGGCTGCAAACTCAAGGGCTCTTGCTTCCATGGTTTCGTCCCTGAATCTAGCCATCTCTGTAGATAGTTGGGGGGGGTGAGGGTCCCGGTATGTGTGTCATGCATAAATATTCTTTAATCTGTTTGGACTGCGTTTACTAACCTGATGAATCTGATTAACATGGTGTGTTATCTTTCAGTGACTGATCTGATAAGTGACCATAAATTGAATGGTTTAACAGAACACAATGTGGTGGCTCACACCTGCAATCTCTACACTCATATAGCAGAGTCAGGAAGATTAGCACATATTTGAGACCAGCCTGAGCTACATTGTGAGCCCAGGACTATATAGCAAGACTCTGTCTCACATAACTGAAGGAAGTAGACATGGTGGGAGGGATGGGAGGTGGGGAGTGAGGGTGGGGTGAGGTTAGACTTGAAGAGATGCAAACTTTTTTTTTTTTTACTTTTTGAGACAGGGTTTCTCTGTGGCTTTGGAACCTATCTTGCAACTCGTTCTGTAGACCAGACTGGCCTCGAACTCACAGAGATCCACCTGCCTCTGCCTCCCGAGTGCTGGCATCAAAGGTGTGCACCATCACCGCCCGGCTGAGATACAAGCTTTTTGCCTTACTGTTCTGGAAGCTGGAAGTCTGAAGTGGATCCTACAAATGATTGTCAGGACATCTTCAGGCTAGGGCCTCTGAAGGTTCTGGGGAAATGTTTCTGTGCTTTTTCCAGAGATCAGAGACCACCTGCATTCCAGCTCAGAGCCCTTGTGCCTCAGTTTCCATTGCTACGCCTTCTCTCTCCTGCCTGCCTCTTAGGCTAGTCGAGGAGAAAATCTTCACCTCAGGCTCCTGACCTGACATCTGTCATGTGAACACATTCAGTTTCTGAAGGTCAGGACAGAGACACCTTGGGGTGGGGACTGGCATTATTCTGCCTCCCACAACTCCAGAAGGACTCCAGTGAGCACTAAGAAGGTCACTTGCTTACAAAGCAGAGTCTTCCTTCAGCCTAGAAGTGGTGCCCAGTGCTCACCTTGGGGAAGCAGAGGGGGATTCCCAGTGTGTGGTGATGCTAAGGTGGACTGGTCCTTCCCCTCCATCTCTGCATATTCTGCTATGGGTCTGAGGAGGGCCAGAGTCCCAGAACACTGCAAATGATTTCCATCCAGGTGCAGCTCGCTGAGGAAGAGGAAGCAAAGCATTGCTCATTGGCTGTCAGGCCCATTCAATTTAGAACTTAAGATCTTTATCTAACACAACATAACTAGTCATAAATGACATAACACAGCATAGTCAATGAATCATTACAATAAATATGTACCATGCCATGTCACAAAAAGCTGCCTATGCCAGCAGCATAAACCATGCCCTCGGTTAATACTCTTGGTTCTCAAAGTTCACCAAAGGCTTTTTTTCCTGAGAGTAAGAAAAAAAAGGGTGGGGGGTGGGGGGGGGAGGAGTAGGGATGCTGGGGAAAAGCTTAGTATGTGATGTGCTAGGCAAGCAAGCACGAGGACCTATGTTCAGTCTCTAGAACCCATAGAAAAACACTGAGCATTGATTGGGCTCCAGGGATGACTGAGTGGGTAAGGCACTTGCTAAGAAACCAAGAGGACCTGAGTTCAAATCCCCAACACCCATGTAAAAGCCAGGCATACCCACAATCCTGGCATTGGGAGTAGAGACAGTTGGGTCCCTGGAACTTGACGGGTCAGTCTAGCTGAAATGGCAAGTGTCCTGTTTAGTGAGAGACCTTGTCTCAAAAAATAGAGAATCTAAGAGAGGAATACATTTGATACACTCCTCTGACCTCCAAATGTGTATGTGTACCCATATACCATACAAGCAAAATAAAAAGGAATCCGTTTCTAATGGAATTCAGAAAACAACAGCCGTACAGGGCATGCGGTGTGCTTGTGATCCCAGAGTTGGAAGGGGAGAGGGCGGTGCATCCCTGGAGCTCTCTGCCATTCAGCCTACTTGGTGAGCCCCAAGTCAGTGAGAGACCCGATTCCAGAACAAGGTGAGAACACTTGACGAAGTCCACCCCTGGCCTCCACATGCATGCGTGCACACCTACATGAACATACATACTTGCCAGAGAGAGACAAGGGGGGGTGAAAGGGAGGGAAAAGCAAACTAACCACCAGGATGCATTGTGCATTAAACAGAGACAAGGTGAGCAAGGGCGTGGGACAGCTCACCAAATGGCACTCTGGCTGATGACAGAGCCCAGCTTCGGCCCACTCGGAGGTCCCAGGCCACAGTAGCGCAGACTGAGGCCTTGGAGCCTTTGGTTGTTCTCCAGCCCTGAGAAGATACTCTCGAGTTCTTCATTTCCAAACCTGAAAACAAATGACAGAACAAGCCACGCCCCTTTTAAACTATATCACAAGCCAAGGGAAACCCTTTAGCTAGTCACAGCAGGGAAATAAACCATGAAGAGTTAAGAGGTGAGAATGAAAACTGGGTTTAGAGCTGGGTAGTGGTGGCACATGCCTTTAAATCCCATCACTTGGAGGCAGAGGAGCGGGATCTCTGTGGGTTAGAGGCCAGTCTGGTCTACAGAATGAGTTCCAGGACAGCCAGGGATACACAGAGAAACCCTGAAAAAAAAAAAAAGAAACTTGGTCCAGATTGACTTCATTAGCTTGGATCAAGATTTTGGGGAGTCTGATGCTAGGCAATTTATTCTCAGAACATTTAAACACAGTATAATTTGGAAAAAAAAGTTTCCTGAGCAAAGGAAGGTTGATTTGAAGCATCCTTTCCAGAGTGAACATGGAGGTCAGGCTCCATGCTGAGGGAGAACAGGGATGGGCATGAGGATTCAGACATGATGATGCAGCTGGCAGTGGTGGGCGGAGTCTAGGAAGCCCCAGCAGCAGCCAGGAAGGAAGTCCAGCCTCTTATCCCTCCTGTTACACAATAGTTAACTGGCAAAGTGACTCACAAGTATTATTCCACAGCCTCTGGAGAGGACTGGTGACACATAGAGTCAAGGAGCTGGAAGTCAGGGAGCTAACGTAGCATCTGCAAAGAATTTGGAATGTCAAGGTTTGAACTTTAAGATGTTAGAAATGGGTTGGCAGTGACGTTATTGCTTTGAGACCCATTCTTGCTATTTAGTAAGGCTGGATTTGAATTAGAGGAGCTCTTCCTGTTTCTGCCTTCCACGTGCCAATTCACAAGGCCTAGAATTAACTCAAAACTTTTATTAAATTATTAACAAGTCATTGTTAGGCTGGGGCTGGGGCTGGCTAGTTTTTGTTTTGTTTGGTTTTTTTTTTTTTCGGTTTTCTGGTATGGTGAGTTGGTTGGTTAACTTGTTTGTTATTTTGGATTTTTGTTTTTTTGGTTTGTCAACATAACACAAACTAGGGTCATCTGGGAAGAGGGAATGCCAACTGAGAAAAAGGCCTCCATCAGATTGGCCGATAGGCAAGTTTTGGTTAAGGTTTGATTTGGGAGGGTCTATCCCACTGTAGGTGGTAATATCCCTGGGCAGTGGTTCTAGGTTGTATAAAAAGCAAGCTGAGCTGGGAGGGATGGAGTATTCCTTTCATCTCAGCACACTCAGGAGGCAGGGGCAGGTGGATCTCTGAGTTTTGGGGCAGTCTGGTTGACTTATCAAGTTCTAGGTCAGCCAAGGCAATACAAAGAGACCCTGTCCCAAACAACAACAACAACATTGACAGCAACAACGAGAAGCAAGCAAGTCAGTCGGGGCATTATTAGATCATTAGGAAAGTGGAAGGAGAATGCTTCAGTTCCTGAGCTCAGGTTTCAGCTAAGTACCTGCCCTGACTTCCCTCAGTGACAGACTGTAATCTGGGAATTGCTTTTTTTTTTTTAAGATTTATTTGATATGTATACAGTGTTCTGCCTGCATGTATCCCTACAGGTCAGAAGAGGGCACCAGACTACTTGTGAGCCACCATGTGGTTGCTAGGAATTGAACTCAGGACCTCTGGAAGAACGGGCAGTGCTCTTAACCCCTGAGCCATCTCTCCATCCAGCTTTTAGTTTTTATCACAGAAATAGAAACCAAACTAGGACAACAATGCACTCTGTAATCGCATCATTTATAGAGTTGAGGAAGGAGGAATTGGAAGTTCAAGACCAGTGCGGGCTACATTGTGAGACCCTGTCTCAATAATCAAAGCAAACAACAAGAAAACCAAGTGATCAGTGAATGTTGACATTTGAGGTAGGCATGGGAAAGTAATGACAGGAGGGGTCTAGCCTGGGGCACCCACAGCCCACAGGGGAGACAAGAACCTAGTTCTTAAAGGGGACTGTGTCTCTGCAGGTCTACTCTCAGCACAAATCATGTCTCACCTCTGAGCACAAGCCCCCCAAAACTTGACTGAATAAGCAGAGTCCTGGACTCATTCCTCCTAAACCAAGGTCTTCTCATTACAGATCAGAGAGGCTCCCCAACTTCCTCCCATTTGTATAAGCAGTCTGAGTTGCCTGTGGATAGTAACTGAGAGACATCTGGCATCAGGGATCTGATTCGACAGCCAGGGCTCACCTACAGACTCCACCCTGAGAGTTAAGTGTCCTTCAATACTCTTCCCTTATGGTGAGTAGTGCAGGCGTGGGGACCTGTCTCATGAGGCTACAGGAGAATACATAAATGAGTGCATTCTAGCAGTGTGCTTTGCATACCGTAAGGGCTTGAAAACTGCTGGCAGAGTAGCTGAGACCACTCAGCAGGTGAATGTGCTCGCCAGAAAGCCAGATGATCTGAGTCCCACCTCACCCTTAGGAACGTGGAAGGGGAATGTTGAGCCCCGCGCGGGTGTTGTGGTGTTACTACTCTCGGCCCGACTGTCCCCTGGTCTGCTCAAGGGCCAGTTCTCAGAAGCAGTTGCTTTGTTCCTTCCTTGTGACTCAGTGAAGTGAAGACTGGCCTGTCACCTAAGGAGCCATGCTTTCCATTGTTTGGGCATGGAACATGTATGGGGCGTTCAGAGTTTGTACCTTGCACTGCGTATAATGGAGAGCCTGTCTGCTCTGCCACTCCGAAGACTCCTTTGGGTACCAGCATCACCTTGCTTCTATCTTTTTTCTTCTCCTCCTCCTCATTTATTCTTCCCATATGTTACATCCTGACTGTAGTTTGCCCTCTTTTCTCTCCCCCCAGTCCTTCCCCCACCACATCCCTTCTACCCCGGGTCCAATCCTCCTCCTTTCTCTTCAGAAAAGGGCAGGCTTCCCAGGGACAGCAACCAAACATGGCATATCAAGTTACAATAAAACTGGGTCCTTACACTTGTATTAAGGCCGGACAAGGCACTCCAATAGGAAGAGAAGGGTCCCCAAAGCGGGCAAGAATCAGAGACAGCCCTGCTTCTACTGTTAGTAGTACTACAGGAACCCCAAGCTACACAACCATAACAAATGCAGAGAGCATAGGTCAGACCCATACAGGTTCCACAATCGTAGGCTCAGTCTCTGTGAGCCCCTAAGGGCCCTGGTTAGTTGATTCTGTAGGCCATGTTGGTACCTTCCTTATTTATATGTTTTTTTTGGTGTTTGTCGTGGGTTTCTTCTATTGCTGTAATAAAATACCATGGCCAAAGAAAGCAACTTAGGGAGAAAAGGACTCATTTAATCTTAACAGCCTGTAGTCCATCATCCAGGGCAGTTAGTGTAGGAACTAATCCAGAGGCTATGGAGGAACACTGCTTACTGGTTAGTTCCTCTTGGCTTGCTCAACCTGCTTTATTAAACTTGCCCAGGGGTGGCGTCATGCATGATGGGCTGGGCCTTCTCCCATCAATTACTGACCAAGAAAGAGCCCTATAGGCCAGGTGCAAGGAGGCATGTTCTCAGTTAAGATTCTTTCTTCCCAACCGACCCTGTCTTGTGCCAAGTTGACAAAGTAGATTCTTATTTATACCTTCCTTAGCACCCAGGACTGTGTTGTGCACAGGCTCACCTTCAGCAAGCATTTGTTGAAAGAACAAGTGGGACGCTAGCATTTACACAGGAGGAGGACTTGTCTCAATGAGGCCCAGGAACCTGGTCCTCCTTCCCCTACTTCCTCCTGCCATCACCATTGAGGGTCCAGCCTGCCAGCGCCCCACTTTCAGCCTTACTTGCAGTAATCGAGGACCAGGAAATGTAAACTGCTGAACTGCAAAGCTTTCCCGAGTCGCCCCAGAGACCACAGATCCATTTTGCAATTAATGATCTCCAAGGTGGTAATTGGGCAAATGGTCTGCCCCTTCGACTCCAGAAACAAAGCCTAGAAGATTAAAAGATACTTCCGTCAGCCAGGCGGTGGTGGCACACACCTTTAATCCCAGCACTCAGGAGGCAGAGGCAGGCAGATCTCTGTGAGTTCGAGGCCAGCCTGGTCTACAGAGGGAGTTCCAGGACAGCCTCCAAAACAATACAGAGAAACCCTGTCTCAAAAAACAAAACAAAACAAAATACTTCCATCCGGACAACTAAGTTCTCACATATTCCCAAGTAAAGCCTATGAATGACCTCAACATTTTTGCCTCTAAGATGTTTTTTTTCTACATTTTGTAGCATGAAATGTAGAATGAAAATAAAGAGGTTTACTTTTGTTTGTTTGTTTGTTTTTTTCGAGACAGGCTTTCTCTGTGCTGCTTTGGAGCCTATCCTGGAACTCACTCTGTAGACCAGACTGGCCTCGAACTCATAGAGATCTGCCTGCCTCTACCACCCAAGTATTAGGATTATCCCCCCCCCCCGGCGGGGGTTATCCTTTTTAAAAAGAAGATTCATTGAAGAATTCTATGATACACTGCACGTGTTGCGAGCTGATCGTATTTGAACAGTAAGTGCTTCCTTGCTTGTCTTCCGAAGTACCACACAGGTGCCTCAGAAGGCTGTATCACGGAGGGAGTCAGGTGCCTGTTGAGATGATATCTTGGGATAAACCGTAACTTGACTCTACTATCTTTGCTGACATCCTTGCTTCAGCCTCTAGAAGCAGCCTATGGTGCCGACAGCCTCTGCAGACTACAGCAGATGGCAATTTTAAATGATTGATTACTATCTTGTGGCGGAGGGTTGCTTTTCTGCTGTGGCATGGATGTGGAGGTCAGAAAATGACGCTGTGGAGTTGATTCTCTCTCTTAATTTTTGCATAGGTTCTGCGGCTAGAACTCGCTTGCTCATCAAGTGCCATTACCCCAACTGAGCCACCTTGCCAGGCCAGGGTTTGTCAAAAATTTTTTTAAAAAATGTATTAGTGTGTGTGTTGGAGTTGGTTCTCTTTCCCTTCTTTACATAGGTTCTAGGCTATAGGTTTTCTGTACCCCGATAAAAGGTTGTTTCTCTACCAATGCAGTAAGCCAGATGAAGCGGAATTAAAAAGTAAAAGACCAAAGCAAAGAACCTCCCGCTTGATACTTCCGGCCCTCAGAGATCGAAGTGGAGGAAGGGGCTGAGTTAAAGGAGAGTTTAAATACCCTGTAAGTACCGGGATGGGATGGGGGGTGGTGACGTGTTCTCCACAAGCTGGGTTTGTACTCAATTATAACGCTTTAGGCAGGGACTGGGCCGCCGGCAATTTCAGGGGACGAGCGAGCGGAACTGGGCTTTTGGAGGCTTTTCTTTGTTGGAGAGTCTCTGAGGTTGGGCTTGGCGAGAGAGAAATGGGGCTTCCTGGATCGAACTGGAGGTTCCATCCGAACACTAGGGAGTGAGCTCAGGTCATTAAGCTTAAGTAGCAAGTGCTTACCCTGCCGAGCCTTCTCACTGGCCCTGAGACGTTGATTTCTTAATATCCTGTGCCTGCGCTCTCTTTAGTAGAGGGTGTGGTGTGTGACCCCTTTGGCATGAGATAAAAACCATTAGACCTTTGTCGTTAGGCCCAGACATTCTCACTTCCAAGGTCTGCTCAGAAGTGGACTGTGCAAACCACTAGCTGCTATGGAAGCTGCTGCTGGACTGGGCTGTACCTGAGCACCCCCGCAGCATCCGCTCCAGAGTGGAGAGGTCCACAGACAGGTCATTTTTGTGGTAACCAAGGATACCGGTGATGGTTAAATCCCTGCTTAAAAGGAAAGAGCATTTAAAACTTCAAGTTGTGGGCTGGCACGAGGCCACCTTTTTCAATTACAACCAGCAAAGAGCATTCCTTCAGCTTGGAGCAGAAGCCTTGAAGGGGCTTGGGTAGATTGGAAGGCTAAGGGTCTTTTAAGTGACATGTCAGTCAGAGCTAGGATTTCAAATTATCCCATGGCTGCGATTGAAAAGTTGAGCCAAGGCCACGGGGTGGGTACTGCTCTGCATGATGCGAGCCCCCACCCCACCCCAAGAGTGAACTGAGCTTGTTGCACAATGGGCAGACAAAAACCCAGGGCTCCCAGCCCTGAGCCCTAGTTAGGGTTACTATTGCTGTGCCGAAACACCATGGCCAAAAGCAAGTTGGGGAGGGAAGGGTTCATTTGGCTTACACCTCCACATCGTAGTCCATCACTGAAGGAAGTCCCGGCAGGAACCTGGATGGATGCTGCTTCCTGACTTGCTCATCATGGCTTGTTCACCCTGCTTTTCCACAGAACCTGGACCAGCAGCTCAGGGAGGGGCACCTCCCACACTGGGCTGAGCCCTCCCCCCATCAACCACTAATTAAGAAAATACCTTACAGGTTTGCCTACAGCCCCATCTTATGAAGGCCTTTTCTGACTCTAGCCCGTGTAATTTGACATGAAAGTTGCCAGCATACCCTGAGAGAGGCAGTGAGGAGGTAGCTGAGGGTTCCAGAGAGCCACCACGAGCTGAGGGCTCTGAAACCCAAAACTCAGAGCTATACTTCTAGCAGGGGTCGGTGAAGCTTCCGAGCCTCAGGGTAAATCTACAAGGAGCTAAGCCTACAAAAAGTGAAAAGTTAGGACGGCAGAGGAGCTAAGAGTAGAAATGGAGAAGCACGAGGTTGGAGCTGAGGGCAGAAGCAAGAGTCTGAGTGAGCTCAGAGTCCAGATGCTGGAAGTCGGGGGCTGTAACTGACTGTTGGGCCATGCACTGTAAGCCCAGAACAGTAGTCTCTGCCATTAGCGTCTAGAGCAGGCAGCCGCAGCCTTTGAAAGTTGCACCATAGTTCCCTGGTTCTCAAGGGTTAGAGATATAACCTCTCGATTTGGTGGCTCACAACTTTTTATACCAGCACTTGGAGAGGCAGAGGCAAGTAGATCCCTTTGTGTTTGAGGCCAGCCTGATCTACATAGTGACTTCAGGAATTGCTGGGGTTCGAGAGAGAGAGAGAGAGAGAGAGAGAGAGAGAGAGAGAGAGAGAGAGAGAGAGAGAGAGAGAGAGAGAGAGAGAGAGAGAGAGAGAGAGAGAGAGAGAGAGAGAGAGAGAGAGAGAGAGAGAGAGAGAGAGAGACCCTGTCTCAAAATCACAAAACAAAAAGCCCCAACCAACCAACCACAACAACAAAACCACAGAGTCGGGGAGAATAAACTTCGGAATCAGGAGACACTGCAAGTTAGTCTTCCAAAGTAGTTGTTGTATATGGAGCCTCTCCCAGTGTGGGGAATTCAGTTGCTTCATATCCTCGTAGACACTTGGTCATGGCTTCTACTTCACTAGTTCTATGGCCCCGAAGTGATAGCTGTTTGTGAGTTTAGTCTGCATTCCACCTGACTTCATGCCGTTGATTCTTCATTTTCACTGGCTTTGATTGTTTCTCCTCCCTCCCTCCTCCCTCCTTCTTCCCCCCCTCCCTCCCTTCCCCCTCCCTCCCCCCTCCTTCTTTCTTCTGAAAGCCATTTCTTTTATTTGAGTTCTAAATCCTGTTCTATCACCCAGGATTGCTTCTTGATCAGTTTGGTTCTCCGTGGCCTCAACACCCTCTGAACTCAGGGCCAGCATTGTCTCCAGGTTTCAGTGGGTGTTGCTGATGAAGGGAAATCCCAGGGTGAAGAGTCATGAAGAAAACAGGGAAAGGTAAGTCTAAAAGAGAAGACCCAATAGCCCCAATAGCAAGCTTTTCAACTTTCTGTTTTGTTTTGTTGAGACAGGGTCTCACTATGTAGCCCTGGGTGGCCTGGAACTCACAGAGATCCTCCTGCCTCTACCTCCCAAATACCAGGATTCTTGGTCATGTTTCCAAGTTTCTCAACTACCTTCTTCTAAATTAAATATTCCAGGGGCACTCCCCACATCTACCCTCCTTTGAATCATGTATGAGTGCAAGCATGCATGTGCACATGTAGTAAGCTTATCTAGTTCTCAGCGAAAGAGTTGGTCTTAATTATCTGATTCACCTTTTCCATAAATGAAGTCCCTCTTTCTTGCAATAAGGGAAGTTCAATTTCTGAAAAAAGGTTAATCTACAATTGTATATGTAATAGAATCAAGGTTAAAGTTATTGAACATGGGTGATGCTTGACAACACAATGTGAGTGAAAGTCTGATTTATAAAGTCATACTTTTGTAGACCACAGGCACGCATATGACTGAAAGTGTGAGCGTGTGCACGGTGGATACAAGTCTACCTCAGGCAGGTGCCACCTGGAGGAAGTAGGTGGGGAAGAGAAGTGACTGGTGCCTTGGCTAGTATGTTGGTCAGTATTGTATTGATTTAAAAGAGTCTATTGTGGGACTGGAGAGATGGCAAGGTGGTTAAAAGCACTTCTGCTCTTGCAGAGGACCTGGGTTCAGTTCTCCAGTGGATCTAACAGGGAGGCATGAGGGGCACACAGGCCTGCAGGTGAAACATTCGCACACATGAGGTTAGATGAGTACATCGCTAAAAGTTAAATCTAAAGGAGTGTGTTACAACTGGGAGGTGGGTTTATGGATATTCATTCCATCATCTGCCACATTTTCTGAAAATGTGGAACTTGCTGGGTGGTGGTGGTGTACACCTTTTAGCCCAGTACTCAGGAGGCAGAGGCAGGAGGGTCTCTGAGTTCGAGGTCAGACTGGTCTACAGAGAGAGTCCAGGACAGCCAGAGCTACACAGAGAAACCCTGCCTCAAAAACAAAACAAACCCAACCAACCAAAGGAAGTGGAACTTATTAGCTTACTTAAAATGAGGAACTTATTTAAAATAAGTTTGAGGAATTTCATTAAAATAATGTTGTTTTTATGGGGAAAAACCCTTGCAACAGATCAGTAAGTCAGAAATAAGACAAACTGCATCTGGAATACAGGGTGTCTTTAAGGTTTGAAGAAACGTAAAACCACACTCACGAGCCTGGCGATCTCAGGGTTGGTCAGCTGAAGGCCCCAGATGCAGACCTCCTTCCCCAGAGTGTAGCTCTCATCTTGAATGGTCATGAGCAAAGGCTCTAAGGAAACAGGCAGGTGGCTTGCTGTGGAGTCGCCAGCTCTTACAAGCATAAACTGGAGTGTAAGGAAATCATAGAATTATGAAAGTTAAGGAAATATGACACTCACTCATCTGAAAGTGCCGACAAGGAATACTGCCACCAGAGGGCTGGATGGATGTTTGAGGAAGTCACTACATGTGCATTGGGCATTCCTGCCACGGACAAGCTCACGACACGGTAGGTGAGGTTTACTACAGGTGACTGCCCACTATTAGGTCACAAAATCAATTTAGTTTAGTCTTTTAGGAAATAGAATGGCAGGAAAACCATTGAATTGCATCTTACATAGCAAGAATAATAATGATTGATTCATGAAGTTTTTATTCTTAAAGACTTACCTATTTTAATTTTGTGTATGAGTGTTCTGCCTGTGTGTATGACTGTGTGTACCTGTGCAGTGCCCTTGGGTACTGGAAGAGTGCATCAGATCTCCTGGAACTGGAGTTATAGGAGCCTCCATGTGGGTGTTGGGAACCAGTCTTGGTATGCTGTTCAAGCTGCAAGGTGTTTTTTTTTTTTTGTTTTTGTTTTTTTTTTTTGAGACAGGGTTTCTCTGTATAGCCCTGGCCATCCTGGACTCACTCTGAAGACCAGGCTGGCCTCGAACTCAGAGATCCGCCTGCTTCTGCCCCTTTGGTTCTGGGATTAGAGGTGTGTGCCACCACTGCCCAGCTAGCAGCAAGCATTCCTAACCACCAACCCATCTCTCCAGCCCCTCACAAGGCTCTTAATGATATACATAATCAAAACGGAGAACCCCCATGGGAGCATGCTTCCAACTTACACAGCCCTTTTACTTTTGCCTACTGCAGATTCATACTGGATGGGGATGCTAATTGCATTCTGATGATAGTTGTAATAAAAAGTTTGGTGAAGGTTAGTTATAAGAACTCTAGTAAAATACAAAATTAATTAGTGGGCTTGAGAGATAGCTTAATGGTTAAGAGCTAACAGTGCCCTGAAACTCCAGCTCCAGGGGAACCTTCTTCTGGCCTCCGTAAATACCTGCACTCATAGGTACACCTCCCTGCATATATGTAACTAAAAAATAAACTCTTAACAAATAATGTTAATCTCCCCCCTTCCCCCCCCCCAGATGATCACAGGGCTGGAGAAATGGCTCAACAGTTAAGAGCACTTGCTGCTCTTGCAGAGGACCAGGGTTTGGTTCCTGCATCCACATGGGGGCATCTCCAGTCCCACGCATCTGGTGTCTTCGTCTGGCCTCTGCCAATACCTGCACATGTGTGGTGCACATATAGGCAACACATACATATAACTTTAAAAGAATGGCTGTGAGAAACCCCTCACCAGAACAGGGCGATATGTGTGGGCACATTCGGAAGAAACTGAAAAAAGGAGGGACTAGAAGAATCTGGAGGGCAGATGAGGTGGGTGGGGAGGAACACGTGGGAAGAGAGGCTAGAGGGAAGGAGGTGTAACTCGGGGTGGCCAGAGTCAGAGGAAAGAGGGGGCTGAAAGAGGCACCTCCAGAAGGTGATGTTATGTAAGGTTCTGGGGACTCATTCCAGGCGCCCCTCCCCCAGCACACTCTGGCAGTCATGGGGGCAGGTGCATGGGCGGGGTGGGGGCAGAAGAGTGGAGCAGATCCTTGGTGTTCAGTGAGCAAAGCTGTGGATGTCACTCCGTCAGGCGATTCAGAGCTGGTGGGAGCGTGGGCATTGTCCCAGGGACCGAACCCCAGGGAGTCTATTTCAGAGAAGGACAGATGCCCCCCACTCACCTTCCTGAGGATCTGCTCTCTGTCGATGCTGTTTTTCAGGTCCCTTTGGATGGCGGGACACAGGGACGTCTGAGACTGCATGCAGTGCTTCTGGTATGTCTTCAGGAACTTCTGGAGAGCAGGAACCACAGATGGGGGAGTCCCTTTGGGTTTTTGTTTTCTTTCCTTTGCTCTCCGCATTGTTTTACAGTGTTCAGAGTCCACTCGGCTTCTGAAAACAGTAACGTAAGCTGGAATCCAGCACAAAACACGCCTCACCCTTGAAATCCAGAAAACTCTGTTGTGCGCTCTTCTCTAAGAATCTTAAAGGCTTCGCTTATCCTAAGTGGCCCTTGCAAGTCGAGTTAGAGCCAGCACAGAGATGTTTGATTTCCAATTTCCATAGTCATGGGCCCATATTTTTGTTTGTTTCTCTATATTTAGGGCAGTACCCATGGACTCAGTTATGAAGAGGTAAAATAATAATAATTCAAGGTACTACTCAGTACCTATTAATGGGAATACACTGGTTTTAAAGTGGTATTTACTGATTCAGTTCTTACCAGACTGTACAGACTGACATGGATGGGGAATTTGAGCTGGGAATATAGTTTAGTTGTAAAGTGTTTACCTAGCACGCATAACACACAGTATGTTAGTAAACTGACATATACCATTTAAGTTCACTGTGAGGATGGTTCTGCAAGTCCTCCTCCCTTCAGATCTAAGCACAGGGGCCTCCAAGACCCCTGTCTAGAGATGGGCTGGACCCCTAACTCTGTGACAAGGAGGGAAGAGGACAGTGAAACAGCCCAAGACTTAAACACATGACTTTGAGGACAGCTAGAAATATACCACCTCCAACAGCCATTACTATTGTTTTTCTCATAATATAAAAATTCCTGCCATGGGAAAAAGAAGCAAAGTTCAGCTGTGGGAAGCTCATCTGTGGAGAGAAAGCTCAACCAGCTGACGGCCTTAACCACCCCAGTGGGTTCCCTCCCTGCATCCCTCCCTCCCTTCCTTCTTTTCTCCCTTCCTTCTTTTTCTTCTCCTCCTTCTTTGTTATTGCTTGTTTTCCGAGACAGGGTTTCTCTGGCTGTCCTAGAAATCCCTCTATAGACCAGGCTGGCCTCGAACTCAGAGACCCAGCTGCCTCTGTCTCAGCCCCCACTCCTGTTCTTTAAAGCATGCAGTCTATATGGTGCTTTGTTACAGTAGCCCAGACTGATATCCACTAGAAAGTCTGCAGCGTTGTTCACTCCAGGGAGTATTTTTTTTTTATCAGCAGCTACTAAGTATTTACTGATGGACAAACTACACTTGCACAGACTCTGCAAATGTTCTCTATTAAAATTAGTGGTTTTTAAAAATTATATGTTGTGTCTGTCCATCCAGAAGGTCTGCAATTCCTTTCTCGGCACAAAACCTGACCAAGATATAGATATCTACATGACTGAGGAACGCTGCAGGCAGGAGGTAATGTCTAAGGAGGACCGTCCTCTGACACACATGAGACCACATGGAGGGTAAAAGGCACGCAAAGGAACACCGATAGAGGCATCATAAAGACTCTGCTCAAGCCTTGCTCCATAAATGCTATATAAGCAGCAATGGAGGGAGAAAAAGAAAACAACTGTTCCCCCCTGGAGTAAACCCAGAGTCCCGTGTCTCTGTCTCGCATCGGCCTCCTTTCCCGGCCCCTGTGTTGTTCATGACTATGCTGGCCATTGCATACATGTGAGTTCCAGTGTGCCACGGTGAGGGGTGTGGAGGTCAGAGAACAGATTTTTGCCATGTGGGTTTGATAATTAAAAACAAATCTCCAGGCCTGGTGGCAAGTGCCTTCTACTGAGCCCAACAAGTAGGGTTTTCTTTTTTCCACACCCTTAACATGACTCCTAAGGACTTATTACTATACCCATAGACTTGTGTATTCAAAGGTCCTAGCAAGGATATCACCAGGATACTGCCCTCCTTGCTTCGAACCCCACATGACCTGCTCTGTGCTTCCCTTCCTTCAGGGTAGCTGGGGTTCTCCTATGCTCTTTTGGGCAGGGTTCCCTGACCTATGTCCTCAGTCTTGTTTCCAGAGTGAGACTCAGCGGAGGGAGAATAATAGTATTAGTTTCTCCTCTGTGACCTACAACATGTCTAGCCACATGTTCTTTAATAGTGTCAGGCATAAATTCCACCCCATGGAGAGCCCAATAGATCTGATCAGAAAGTAGTTGGTGACTCCCATGTGCCACCATTGCGTTGTTCGATCTCAGAGAAGCTTGTTCTTGAAGTAGAAGACAATGGACACAAAGACCCTTATCTGGTCAAAGTGTGGAGAATAAGAGACTGTGGAGTGCTTGTTTCTAAACGAGTTAGACATATTTCACCCTTTCTCCCCAAGTTCAGGGAACTTCTCCAAAGAAGGGGCATAAGGCTTTGCAGAGCCAGAGGTGCTGGGTGACTTCACTGAAACCTCGCTTTCCAGGCACAGCCGAGCAGACGCACATATGAATCCACAGCAATTGTGACAGTGTGCATAAGATTTTGCAAACCCAAGCCAGACAAAATCACAGCATGGAAAGAGAGGGGAGGTGCACTGGAAATCCCACCACTAGCTGAGGAGATGCTGGCATTTCACTGCTGCTGGGAGAGTCAACCTTAGGTCTACCACGATCCAAGAGTAGCTGAGCAGCACAAACTGGACTCAATGGAGAAACAAAAGGAAGAAAACTCACAATTAAATGGTAGGGAGGCGAGGGTGGAGAGGAGTTGGCAGGGGTGAATATGATGAAATACATGTGGGATTCTCAAAGAGTTAACGCAAATAATTATCGAATGATGGGAGAAGGGAGAGAGGGAGGGAGGAGAGAGACAGAGACACACAGAGAAACAGAGAGAGACAGAGAGACACTATGCCTGTGTGGAGATCAGAGGGCAACTCTATGGAGTCCGTTCTATGATTCCATGACTTGTTCTGGAGATCCAACTCAGGCCGGTTGTCAAGCTGTCATGTCAAATAGTGCTGAGCCATCTCAATGACCCAAGATAACTAGTATTTTACCAAGCAGTTTTTGAGGTCCTTTCTGCATGCAGTTGGGGCCTGGGTGCTCCAAAGCCAGTCACAGTACACCATGGATGAACTCTTACTGAATCTCAGGTCTGTGCCTTACCTATGCAGTCCAGGCTTTATCATCTCATCTGGAGGCTGCTCTCAGTTGGGCTCAGGTTGCGGGAATCAGAGCCCCCAGGGAGCTTGGGAGAATCCCAGTGGCCCCGGGGAAGCACAGGGCAGGTCCTGTGTGTGTGTGTGTGTGTGTGTGTGTGTGTGTGTGTGTGTGTGTGTGTGTGTGTGTGTGTGTGTGCTCGTAAGTGTGTGTGTGGGGGGGCTGAAGTGGGGGAGGGCAGTGTCCTCATGGGGACGCTGAACACCATCCAAGTGTTGCAGTCCTGCTTCCCGTGCGTCCTCTGTCGCCATAGAGACGGGAACTCCAGACTGAGCTGAAGACAAAGAGGGCTGTAAGAATCTTGCTGTAGGCAATGGTTTTGGAGTTTAGGACTTCCAGGCTGTAGGAGGTGGGGGGAGGGGAGAGGGTGGGGAGGAGGTCTCAGGGAATAGACATCCCCACCTGAGGCATGGGACAGGCCACCTAACTGGGCAAAGACAACTTAAAAATGATTGGGGATCCAGACCTTGAGGGGGCTAATGTACTCAGCTATCCTGCAGACAAAATGAGACCCAAGAAGGAACTCAGAGAGAGGCCATGAGGACTCAGTGCAGCTGTTGGCTTTAAAGGTGGAAGAAGGGGCACTCAAGGCAGAAATGTGAGTGGCTCCCGAAGCTGGAGTGGAAACAGATTCTCCCCAGAGCTCCGTAAAGGAACCGGTGCCCACGAACCTGCTTTGAGTTCAGTGACACCCAGTGGGACTTCTTGCTCCATGACCGTCAAATAATAGTCATTACTTCTCGTCCCTCCCTCCCTCTCCCCCCGCCTCCCTCCTTCCCTCTCGTGTATGCCCACATTCTTCTGGTGTCCACTTCAGTCACCCTCTATCTTGTTTACTTATTTGGGACAAGGTATCTTTCTCTCTGTCTCTCTGTCTCTGTCTGTCTGTCTCTCTCTCACGGCAACCTAAAGCTCACCAATTTGGCTAGAACAGGAAGCCCTAGGGACCCTCCTGTCCTCCCGCCTCCCCAGCTCCCGGCTGGGATTACAGACCCACAGCTCAGCACTGGGCTGTTTTATGTGAGAGCTGGAAATCTGAACTCTGGTTTTGATGTTTGCACCTCAAGTTGCTGTGGCTTAGGGGAAGCAGCTGCCTTTGAGTGTGTCTTTAAGGGACTACTTACTCACATTCCTGTAAGTAACCCTCATAAAGGCATTGGTTTGCCAAAGCGGTCTCTGGTATGTTACTTTGGTCTGTTGTTGGTTCCCTTGTGGGCTGAGTAAATATTTGTTCATGTCTTCCCAAGAATTGCGTTACACAACAACATCCTACACCTTGGCTCCTACTCCAGGAAGTTAATTGAAAGTGAGAGTTAGCTGGTTTTTGGCTACTGGACACAGAAACCTCAGCTAAGGCAACAGTAGCAATAAAACACTTATGGCTTAGATATTTGGTGTGTTACCATGAATGCAGGCTTTTTCTTGCTGTACCCTTCCATCTTTAATGGGGGGGATGGGCAGGGGCTGCATTATTTCCCCCTTTGATTGGAATAGGAGGGGCCTCCAATGTAGAGCTCTTTAATGGAACGGAAATTCAAACCCCAAGGCCAAGGAATCTGTAAGGGGGGAACATTAGCCGCACAAAAGCCCCCTCCTATTCTTTTAGGTTTTATTTTATTTTCGATTATGTGCATATGTGTGTATCTGTTTCTTGGTGCTTGCATGTGAGTGCAGATGTTCACAGGGACCAGAGACATCGAATCCCCTGAGCTGGTTAATGTGGGGGCGGGGAACTGAGCTCATGTCCTCTGCCAAAGCACTCTTAACTGTGGATCCACCTCTCCAGCCCCATTGATAGTGGGATCTTGGAGCACAGCAACAAAGCTGGAAAAGCAGAAGATGGTGGCCCACAGAGATCACCAGAACAATCAGAACAGTCCCTTCAGACGGCTCTTCCCTGATTGGTCCCATTGGTAACCTTATTTGCATACCCACATCCAGCCACTTAGTGTCCAGCTGACACTCCATGATTCATACCTTCTGGGGCTGCAGGGATGGAAGATGTGAAGAGAACTTGAAGGAGGAGGAAGAGGAAGAAGACTGGGACCCAGAAGGCCCTGAGGCTTCTGCCCTGGGCAGGGAGCTCACTGGAGGCAGCTGCTAAGCCTCAACCAAAGGCTGGGAGCAGAGGGACTCATTCCTGTGTCAGCCTCCAGCACAGGTTGCAGCTGCAGACAGGAATTTGTTACTGCATCTGTTTCTAGCCTTCCAGACCCGACAGGAACAGGAGACCTGCCACCCTGTTGATCCTGTTGGTGACTTGCTTTCTGCAGACTTGCTCTGCAGGGGACCTCTCTTAATTGACACCCTGAAGCTCCCTGAGAGCTGTCCCAGAGCTGTGACACTTCTCAGAACCAAGAGACACTTTTGGCTAGCACCGCACTGATACCAAGAGCTCGGATTCGATATACTTAAATTGTCAAATCCCATATCATTATCCCAAGTCATTTCATCCCAAATTAGTAATAAAGCACTTTATTTGAACATTCTTCCCTCTTCCCATTCCCTCTTCAGAAGGATGGTGGACAAGAAGATGGCTGGAGGGCTGGAAAGATGGCTCAGCGGTTAAGGTGCACTGACTGTTCTTCCAGAGGTCCTGAGTTCAATTCCCAGCAACCACATGGTGGCTCACAACCACCTTGAATGAGATCTGGTGACTTCTGCTCGCACGCAGGCAGAAGACTGTATACATAATAAATCAATCAATAAATAAATAAAAAAGAAGATGGCTGGAGGCAGGATCCGACCTCTGCCCACTGCTTTGCCTGCAGTGGAACTATCAGCTGCTGTGGGTCTCTTGGCTGCTGTCTCTCGGTCTCACTCCAATGGCCAGTCAGAAAGGAAGAGGCCTTTTGCAAGAAATGCGAAATGCTACCCACAAAATTTAGGGAGGCCCAGCTACTTATCTCATGTCTAAGGTAGAGATGCACTGTACATCCCTGGAGGTGCCGTTCCCAAGGGATGTGACTGCCATAGTGGGGTAGGCACCAAGGCTCATAGGGTGAATAATGCCATGTGGTATTGCAGGACAGAGGAGGCTAAAAGACATGGAGTAAACAGCCAACAGTGCCTGCCCCAGGGAGCCATAGTTTTCATGCAGAAATGTTTTAATATATATAAGTGGAAGCTATAAAGGTCAGAAATGATGGTACATTTATTTGAAGGAAGGAGTCACTGAAATTAAAATGAGTAGACTTGGCTTTCTACCAGGTCTGCCCAACTCCAGGCCCACATTCTCACCGGCTAAGCTTCTTAGGGCTTAACAAAACCACTAACAACAACAGGACCAAGCAAAACAGAAAGTCCCCTGCCCACAAACCTTGGAAAATAACCAAAGCACCATGGCACTCTCCTCTCTAAGAACAGGATCAATGGAGCGATTCCTCTCCAGGACGCATCCCAGCTTGCTGGGGATGGAACCCAGGGCTTTGTGTTTGCTAAGGGTGTGCTCTATCCCAGCCACATCCTAACCCCCAGTTGTCACTCAAAAGGTCAGCAGATGATTCTGAGATCCTTTGCTTGACTCCCGATGGGAGGGTAAAGCCGCTGAAAGTTTCGACATTCTCCCTGGGTTCTGTCAGTGTTACCGGATCCACTGTCATAGTGTAGTCACACCCAGACAGCAGAAAACACCCCAAACCTTCAGCCAGAGCTAGGGTGTGTCAAAAGGATGGATGGAAGAGAAGCCATTCTCGGAGGGTTGGGATGACAGTAAGAGATGATGGTTTTGAAGTTAACGATTTTTTTTTTTTTTTTGTTTCAGGTCATTGTCTAAAGCTATCTTGATGTCATCCCCCTATTGTATGCAGACTGACAGTCCTGTAGGTTGCAAATCATGCTGCCTGGTTACATTTCTCAGGTCACCTAATTTCTAGAAAAGCCTGCCCCATCCTCTCCATTGATCTATTTCACAGAGTGAGATGAGGTAAAGCTTGATTCCAAGTTAGTCTTTATGTTTGTTAATAAAGGTAGTTAAGGTTTGGTGGGAGAGGAAAAATTACTGCTCTTTTGTAACTGTAATGTGGTTGGCTATATATAAAGACCTTAAACGTAGACAGATTTCAAAATTGAGCTCTTATTTTTCCCTCAGAGCCACACTCCCGTTCACCCTGAATAACACAGCACTGTAAACTCTTTCCAGGCTTCTCTATGTGTCTTTGTTTTATTAAGCAAGTAGTCTACCCCTGAGTTACTACATTTTTATTTTTGCTCAAGGCTGAAGGCAAAATGACTGCATTTGTTTTCTCAAGCCACTCCACCAGGATGAGTTCATGTAAGCTGAAATCGGCTCTGTGATAAATGAGATTGTGGAGCAGTGGGAAGCAGCCCAGCAACACGAACAGCACAGCACCACCCATCTGAAAGGAGCCCAGGAGCCCCCCCCCGCCGCTGCAAGATGAGTCCCCAGGCGTGATGGCACACATCTGCAGCTTAGGAGGCTGAGTCTGAGGCCAGCTGGCCTATATAGCAAGACCCTGTCTCAAAAAACAAAACAAAACAAAAAAACCAAAGCAAAACAAAACAAATGAACAACATCATCATCAACAACAAAAAGCCCCACCAAAACCCAAAAATCAAATCCCCAAAACACAGGTCTTTAATCCCAGCTCTCTGAGGCAAAGACAGGTAGATTGCTGTGATTTTGAAGCCAGCCTGGTCTACATGAGAGTTCCAGGCCAGTCAAGGTGAGAACCTGAGAGAAGAAGGAGGAGGGGGGAGGAAGATAAAGAGGAGGAGGAGGAGGAGGAAGGCTGGGTTGACAAGATGGCTGGGAAGGTGTTGAGGTCAAACCCTCGACTTGACATGAAGGAAGGAAAACCTGACTTTTGCAGGTTGTCCTCTGAGCACCGCACCTGTCCCATGGTTCACGAGTCTCTACTCTAGTACACATTAATAACTGTAGTGAAGAGAATTATTTTAATTACGGGAATGACTACCACTAGAGAGAGAGGGGGAGAGAGGGAGGGAGGGAGAGAGGGAGAGGGAGGGAGGGGGAGGGAGGGAGGGAGGGAGGGAGAGAGGGGGAGGGAGGGAGGGAGGGAGGGAGAGAGGGGGAGGGAGGGAGGGAGGGAGGGAGAGAGGGGG